TCGAAAAAGTTATAGCTAGAGCACCTTCTCGTCGTCGGTTACAACCCACGCATGGGAAGAATGGCTCGTAGGTAGCAACTAAAATCAACAATCATAAAAAATCTCTCCACCCCAGACAAACACAACATAATATAAAGGATCCTAGCACAAAGAGATAGGAAGGAATTTGAAATTGGGATAGAAGTGAAATATGGTAGAAAAGTTAGGCAATGAATAGTGAGGAATTAGAATTAGAAAGAATTATGAATAGAAAAAGGGTATACGAAAGGCAAGCAATAGAATACAAATGAATTGGAATTGGATAGAAATAGGAAATAAGATGGAATATTAAAGGAGAAGGGAGAGAACGGCTAGATCGCGGCACTGTAGCAGCTAGAGTACCGCGTCCGTGACACTGTAACAACCACAACACCGCGACCTGATAAATCTCCACACTAGTGATGGTAGATTTTTCTCGAGCAAGTGCATTTCTCTCTCATTCCCATCTCAAGTGCCTATGAATAAATATGAATTCAGCACTATAAATTGCAAAAAAAAATTAAAAAAGAAAAATTAAGATCCAAAATTCTTAATTATATTTTGATTATAAGACATCTTAGAATTATTAAATTATTTAGACTTGAATATAAAACTTTATTTGATTTCTCAAACGTTTATATGTACTTAAAATAATTTTAAATTTCCTAAAAAAACCCATAGAATAACTCAGCTTACTTTTTTAAAAATAACTGTTAGTACACCCCCTGTTTGCTATATTTAACAAATCCTCGTCTCTCCCGCGTCCGCGTCTCCCGCCACTCCACCCCCTCTCTGTCCCCCTCCTCTCTTTCTCTCTTATGTATCGGCTTCTTTTCGTTGATTCAAAATGATGGCTAAAATAAAAATCCGTGCTTTCTAACTCTGAATCTGAAAGAAGAAGCAAAAAAGTTGTTTTTTTTTTCTTTCCTCTCCCAATTTCGTCCCTTTCAATGCCCGGCGAAAAAAACCAAACCATTTCTTCCCTTCTTCCCCGATCCTTCATAGCTTCTAATCCACAGCGCTGATCCTAGCGTCAGCCGGAAAAATGGAGGACGATGAGAAGAAGCCTTCCGGCTGCTGCCTTGTACTTCTCTACAACTCCTGCTTCCGTCGCCATCCAGTCCCCGTTTCTCCTATCAACCCAATCCCCCCACCCATCTCCTCCAATGGCAAAATTTACAAATCCAATGCCCAATTGCCTATTCCCAACCAACCCTCCGCCGCCCTCGTCTCCCCCAATCACACTAAATCCCATATCGCCGGCCAGTCCAAGTTAACCATAGCCGCCCCTGTCTCGCGGCCTCAAATCGTCAGCATATCTTCCGAACTCGACAGCTTGATCTACGACCACCAGCGAGCCAAGGGGAGCAGCACTCTCCTCCGCGCCTCTTCGGGCAACGTTATGCTCTTTGGCAATCTGGGTAATCTACGCTCCCATGGCGCCGTCGCGGCGCCCAACCGCAACTTGCCCGAATATCTCCCGAAGACTGCCAAGGAGATGAAGCCGGCGAGGCGTGCCGCGGAGGCTGAAACGCCGACCGCCATTCGTCCGGCGCTGTCGAGGAGGTTGGACGCGGAGGAGCTCAAGGAGATAGGGAACGAGGAGTACAATAAGGGGAGGTATGCGGAGGCCATCGCGATCTACGATAGAGCTATATTGATTGATCCTGACAAGGCTTCTTACTGGAATAATAAGGCGGCAGCTCTTATAGGCCTCGGTCGCCTTCTTGATGCTGTGGAGGAGTGCAGGGAGGCTATTAGGATTGATCCTTATTATTTCAGAGCGCATCAACGGCTCGCTAATCTCTATATCCGGTAATGTTGGTTTGATGTTTGGAAATATGCCAAAACCTAATCAAAATCATGTTTTGAGGTCAAAATATGTATATAATTGAATAAAAAAAATCAAAAAAGAAAAAACACTTTTTTTTTTAATGTCTAGCTAAGAACTTTACTGAATACTCTTAGATTGGGAGAAGCAGAAAGAGCAGCTAAACACTATAAGTTAGCGAAAAATGAAGCAAGCTATGATGACATATCGCGAGCAAAGGCCGTGGAGATTCTCATTGGAAAGTGCAGGGAAGCGAAGAGCTTAAGGGATTGGAATATTCTGCTGAAGGAGAGTCAGTCTGCTATTTCTGCTGGTGTCGATTCATCTCCCCAGGTTTTCCTCCTTAGAGATTACAACTTACTTTTTATGTTTTGTTTTGACCTGTTAAGAGAATTTACTTTTAAAGTAGATTTACATTCATGGCACTCAATTCCCATGTAATTATATTTAACACCAAAACTTCAATTTTTATATGCCACCTTGCTTATGCGTCATAAAGTATATTTCACTTTTGAAAATTAGTTAAAATAGTTTGTTTTTGATGTGATAAGAAAGGTTTGGGCAGTATAAATGTAATGAGTAAAATTTAGGCGTTAGATATGTAAATACATGGGAATTTGGTGGTATGCATGTAAATAGACTTTGCTAATACACTTTGTTTCTGCACATTCAAAGAAGAGAGAGAAATTTATGCTTTATAGAGTATATTTGGTGGTATGCATGTAAATAGACTTTGCTAATAGACTTTGTTTCTGCACATTCAAAGAAGAGATTTTGATTATAGAGAGAAATTTATGCTTTATAGAGTACTCCATAACTTTGCCTACTTTGATTGGCACAAGCGCCTCAATCACCTGACATTAGTTATTGACCAACAATGACATGTGACATTGTCTGTCGTTTGACACCGGCCATAGATTGATATCTACATCTTTAATTGCCTATCATTGTTTGTAAGACACTAACATACGAAGCCCATCTCAATCCCCCTTTTATTTGGAGAAGTGAGATGTCAGTCTGCAGTCGCTCAGCTGCCGTCATAACAAGTCAAACATCGTCGGCGCTTGCCAACAATTGACAAATGGCATTCACCAGCCGTCAAGGTGCAACGATCATCTTCCCATTCTCCCATCTTATCATGAGAACAAAGTTTGTTGTCAAGTGTCGTTTGACATTCAATCTCTATATCCTAACTTTGGCCCTTATATTACTGCCACCATAGGAAATGTTTCTCATGATTCAAGTCAAATATATTGTGTTAATATTTATGTATTCGAAACTGACTCTCTTTTTATTTCTCAACACTCTTAAATTTTTTTCAACGTTGCCTCATAGTTTTTCCCCTTTCCTTGTTTTTCACATAAAAAATGCTGTCTTTTGTGTATTTCTTTGAACTTATTTATGTGTATGTGAAACCTTTGTAGAAATCTACGGCATGAAACTATTTTTTCCTCTGTGAATATTTTAGCCACCATAGTTGTATCTCTTGCAATTACGTTTCATATCTTTGCCATATAAAATATAAAATAACGTATCATCCTCAGAGTGAAAGTCTGGCTGCATAAATATTAATATATAAGCGTAGAATACAACTTAAAGTTTGAAAACACATCATTTAAACATTGTTCAAAATAAAAATGCATTAAACCAACATGCCATGTTTCAGAAATCACAAGCCATTTTTATTCTACCACATCTTTGTAAATATACATCAATTATGAAAATTAGGATTAATCTGTTTTTTTTTTCCTACTAAAATTTCATGCAAACCAACTGACTTTAAAGAATTTTTTTTTACCTTTTTTCCTCGCAGATATTCGCCTACCAAGCTGAGGCCTTTTTGATGCTCTTCAAGATGGACGATGCGGAGGAATCAATGCTTGATGCACCTGAATTTGACACTGATGCTTCAACCAAGTTCTTTGGCGCCCCCAGCAACGCATATTACCTTTCAGTAAGAGCACAGGTTGATATGGCTGTGGGAAAATTCGAAAATGCTGTTTCACAAGCACAAATGGCGGCACGTATACATCCTGGAAGCAGGGAAATCACTGCCATTGCTCGTAAGGCTCGATCTATTGCATCGGCTCGGTTGATGGGTAATAATCTCTTCAAGGCCTGCAAATTTGTGGAGGCTTGCCTTGCCTACGGTAATGGCCTTAACCATGACCCTCAGAATGCAGTCCTACTCTGCAATCGTGCTGCTTGCAGGTCTAAGTTAGGCCAATGGCAGAAGGCCATTGAAGATTGCAATGTCGCTCTTAATTTGCGCCCGAAGTATAGTAAGGCACGCCTGAGGAGAGCCGACTGTAACGCCAAGGTGAGTAGGATGTGTTTTTTTCCGTCATATTGGTAATAAGTCTGTCAGAAAAGTTCGTTATTCATAAACCACTCTTGTTTGGCTTGCTAAGTAGCTCATGTTTGAGTTATTTGTTAAGCAAGCGTGTCGAACAAGAGCAGTTTTTTCTTAGCTCTATTTGTAAACGAGCCGAACACGAATTGTTCAATTTTATTCGGCTCATCTTGGCTTGAATTAATTAATAATTAATAAATAATAATATTTCTATATTTCTATATTGATTTTTTGTTCGGTATTAAAAAAATGTAAGATTTTATTATTTTTTAAACCATCAAGGAAATTTTGAACCAAACACGAGCTGAAATGATCAAACAATTTTGAATTGAGCTGAACGCAAACATGTTATTTATGAGTTTTTTCGAGCACGTGTCTATTTCAAACAACATAAATTGTCGAACAAGCTAAACACGAACAAGCATTGGGCTCGCTCAAGGTTGGCTCGTTTACACCCATACTTGTTAAGGTTGAGGCTGAAGGTTATTAAATTTGGAATCTTGTATCAGTTGGAGCAGTGGGAGGCATCTATAGAAGATTACAATGTATTGGTTCTTGAAATGTCTGGAGATGAGACAGTAAGCAAGGCCTTGCAGGAAGCTAAAGAACATCTTAAGAGGCAAAGTGCTGCTTGCATTAAAGTGGCTGAAAGTGGCTCTGAGGCCTTAAACGTCACCAACAAAGACTAGTTTCATGGTGTTATCAAATCACCTGGTAAGTATCATTGGCAGTGGAGATTTTCTTTCATTTTGAGCACTTTCGTTAATTTGCTAATATGCTTATGAAAAAATGCAAGTTTTCATAATATTAGCAAAATTTATGTTTTATGCAGTATACTTGCACTTTTTTAGTTGTTTGAGGAGGAAATTTTGTGTCTTATTAAATAGATATCCCCTTATTCATAATAGGGGACTAAAAGCAATACTCGCCAAAAATAGCTTACATTGTTCTTCTAATATAGAGTGTTACTATATCATGCTACATGTATATCTATTAACTCCAACTTGCTACATAAATGAGCAAAAGGTAGATAACCAGAGCTTGGAGAAAGGGCATCAACAATTTGTTTTGAACTGGGAACATGAGGAGTATCGATCTTCTTTGAAAGCACAACATTTTGGATGATATGATAATCAACTTTAATAGGTTTAAATTATTCATATAATAAAGTTTTGCTAGTAATGTTGGTGGCCATGCAAATTTTACCATACAATATCATAGATTGAGTAACTTGGCAAAGAGTCTTTACCTATGCCATTTTACCTTTTGAGTGGGTGATAGCTTTGTATTCTATCTCAACATGATTTTATCATGATTGTTTATTTATTATTCCTCTGGCAACCAAATTACCTTAAAAAAATATAGTATCCCATTTCTTGTCTTCAATTAAGCCAACACAATTGACATATGAGAATGCAACATTCAGGTACTCATTCTTTAGTATTTAGTAGCCCTGTGATTGCCAGTTAAATCATTTTTTGGTCCAAACCTTCAATATTGAGATGGATCATCAATGAGATCTTCATTATTAGAAGTGATATAAGTTTCAGTGGTGGTATCAACTGGTTTGCAGTCCAGAAGATCAATTTTTTTTCAAGCAGATTAATAGCATATTTTCTTTGAGTGAGTGATAATTCTTTTTATAAATAGTGTTTCACCTTAGTTTTTATGGTCACTCATAATGAGTGAGATGCCATTAATATAAATAATCACTTTAAGGAGCATGAAGATGCATGCCTAATGAAGTTACAAGGATGTGTGGTGCTATTGCAAAGAACTAACTCATTTAAGAGGTTAAAAAAGTTTTCAAGCCAACCTCGCGAACTCTATTTAAGCTCGGGGATGGTCCTCTTGAGTAGCATATACACTTCTTTCTTTGAGAAACTTATAAGAAATGGAGAAAATTTATTTTATTTTGTTATATCAATATTGATGTAGCATTTATATAATCTTAGGAGAGTTTCTGATAGAAAACATATAAAATCATGGAATGCTAATTATAAAATAGTTCGAATAGTTCATGGATTTATTAGTAAGCATAATAATAATGATAGTAGTCCATGATTTCAGGAATAGTAGCAATCCCATGGATGATGTTGAGGGATCCTACGGATGAATGGTGTGATAGCGAAAGAGGGAGGGAAGATGATGGAAGTCTTGGTGAGCGTGGATCCAACGTAAGAGAGTGAGTAAATGTTATTCATTCCAAATCTTATCTGATAATTTCTAAAAGACTATCTTTGATAATCATTTGATGGGCTTCAATAAATTGTTCAATAGTAGTTATGAATGAAGTAAAAATTCTATCACATTAAGCTTTTACTTCGTAAAATGTCTATCAATTTTAATATTTTTTATATGGTCATGATATATGGGTTATGCGTAATATTTATGGTTAACCTACTATCATAATAGAACCTCATGAGGAAAAATTTATTTTTGCAAGCAAAAAACACAAAAAGCAAGTACAATCAAATGGTAAAAATAGTTCGGCAAAGTTAAATGATTGAGCTTAGTGAAAGATATTGAGACGAGATGAGTGAATAGGTTGATGGGAATTATGAGATAGCAGGTAGTTAAGATTGCATCTCCGTAATTAATGAAGGGTGTTTTTCCGAAAGATTAATTTGCTTACTGCGTGAAAATATAATTTTTTTTTTTTTTTGCATTCAACCACGCTATTTTGTTAGGTTATATGGGGACTAGAAATTTTATAAATAATACTCTTGTTAGAGCTAATGATGCAAAATTGAGATTACCTCAATTTTAAAGTATTATCAGTGCACAAAGATTTTTATTAAGGTAAGAAAATAACTTTTATTTTTTGATAGAAGATTTACAAAATGTAAAAAACTTTTGATTGGTATTTGAGTAAGTAATTATCAGTAACTCAAAAGTAATCATTAATAAATTTCACAAAATTATAAAATTTCAGGTGAGTAAGGAAAAACTAGTACCCAAATACTTAAATAGACTAACCCAAAAGGAAGAGCTTGATGAATAGTGGTAGAAGAATGAAAGAATTAAAGTAGTGTTTACCCAACTCTTTTGCATGATAGTCAAACTTGGAGAGAGATGAGATAGAAAAAAAATCCCTTTATTTATTAGGAGGAGGATGATTTGGTCAGAAGTGCTATTAATATCGAGTAATAATGGAAGCTAGATAGAATGAATATTGATCTTTAAATGGTAGATGTTGCAAACTTTAGAGTGCTTGTCAATTACTTTTCTTGAATTGAGATTATAAAAGATAATATGAGAATGATAAAATAATTATGAATTTTAATGATAAGAATAGATAAAAAGCTGCCATGAAAGTATGGGACAGCAACTTATCGAAGAGATATAAAGTGCTCAAAGAATTTATTTGGCCTTTTTAGAGATGTGAGAGGGGGAACTATTATGGGCCTTCGATTGAGTCTCATGGACCCAAAGAAACGAGAAGAGTACAATGGATTAGATCGCACTATCTCGAGGAATAGAAGTGGTGGTAGGCTTTTACATTCCAACATGAGACTCAATAGAAGGCAGACTAGTTAGTAATATGTTTATCATTGGAGCACTTCATAGAAGGGAGATAGTAGTACCCCAAAGGATAGAAAGAGATTTTTCCTATGGACTCGAAAGGCAAATATATTTGAATCAAAGTTTCCACTATTCATGTCTAAGGTTCATTTTATTTTGGATGTTTAAGTTTCGTATAGGCACAAGATGCCATGATTAATAAGTTCTTAGATGAGGAGCCCAAATACACTCTCGATTAATGATGTTTATTTATTTTATTTTGGAATTCAACACGTATTTGGCTTTATAAGAAATGTTATAAATTCCAATAAGCAAGCTCAATTGGCTACTCAATATATTTTTTATAATACGATCAAGCACATAAGGATCAACACAAGTAGACATAGCATACATAATAGGTAAACATGTGAGGTGACATGATTGAGTGACGTATATGCAAACCTTACAATCTCTTGAAGAATGGGAGCTTGCCCTACAATGAGAATTGAAATATTGTAAGAACAATGTTATTTTAAAATCTTGATCTAAAGAGGGACTAAATTATTAATCAAGTACGACATGTGACTTGAACAAATGGAAACAAAATGATGAAACTTATAATTTAGCCCTATTTCTGCCTAAAATTGCCTACAACTTAGACTTATAATTTTTCTTGGAAAGGATTATTAGTTAAATCCACTTAATCCTATAAAATCATGATGTCTAGTATTTATGCAAATACATGATATGGTAGGTGTGATATATAGGAATCATGGTTTGCAGCCTCACTATTAGAGTAGAGAGGGCTCGACCCTGAACGAACTTAATATACATATGCCGAATTTTATTTAGTTATCAAGTTCTAAGTTTGTTACAAAAAAAAAAAAAAATCCATCATGCTGACTCACTGATCTATGCATATATATGTGCCAGTCCGAGATTTTTATTGATTTAAAAAAACAATTATCTTATAGAAAGACAAGTCAATCAAATGTTGACCTTACATATAAGGTCCGCCAAAGAGGCTAGAGATAAATTATTTTTTAAGAAAATGACTTTGGGAGGCATGCAATTTTTTTTAAGGAAATTATTTTTTAACCATTTCTTTTAGGTCAATTAGTTGTTTAATTTTGAAAGTAAAAAAATTAACATCTTAAAAGTCTAATGTAGACGCAGATTCAAATCATGCACACATAAGTGAATAAAAGAAAATGCATTTATAAAACAATACACTAAATAAATAATCAAAGTATTAAATAAACAACCATAATAATAAAACAAAAGTTGACAATGACTGAATTCACATTACATCCCTAAAAACAAGTAAGGTATTTGGGCTCTGCTATATATACATCCAAGTCTTAGAACTATACAACAATGATCTTGGACTGTAAAGTTTTGAACGCCTTCCTTAAAATCATTGTTTGGCCTCTTGATTTCTGAAATGGCCCACACCTACATTGCTTTCTTAGACTTAAAAATACTTGTTCAAAACCAAAAAATTGCAAAGCCACTCTTACAAAATAGATGTTAGTAGTAGTTAAAATACAAACAAACATATCACACATGGCCTGACATAGATCCGTGGCAAGTTATATCCTTTTGACCATGTCTTCTTGGGTTTAAAATATCATAGCTACACCTGCAAGCAAAATAGTTATATTTATAATTATTTTTAGTTGCCCCATTTTAGGCGTAATCATCTGTAAGAAAATATCTTTATCCCAACCACTCAATGTAGGTGCCCACAACATCACATCACAATAAAAATTTTATCGCAATAAATAGCACACCATCACATCATATAACAAAAGGTGGTTCAAGCATACCTATGATCTGTTTGGGGCTGCTGAAACTGTTTGAAAAAGTAGCTGTGTAACAACTACAAAAAAAACTGTTGCATAAAAGCTGTCGTGGGTGAAGCTGTGCCTGTTTGGACAGTTCAACTATGCAACAATTGTTTTTTAAATGAAGAACATGTTGTCCTTCAATACATATTGTATATGTAAGCTAACCATTTCAGAATTAACACATACTTAACTAAAGAAATGAAATTCAGAAATTCGAAAAATTCACAAGTTAATAATAGCTATAGAGAGAAAGTAAGCTCACCAGTAGAGAGATAGTGAGAGAGAAATATGGGCTCAAGTATCTCACCTGTAGTGAATGAGCAAATTCGAAGATTTGGCCAGAGAAAATAAACCATAGTTGCACATAGAAGAAATCAAAACAGGAACCATGATATCCTAGGAAGGTTTATTGCATTAATGGCATGTCATATTCAAAATAATGGAGTGGTAAAACCGGGAATAAATTATAACTGTGAAATGCAACCATCTACGAAGCGAGGGAAGAGGCCACATGCCCCAAATCTACATCTCAATTTTTTTTTTTTTCTGCCACAGGTGCGCCGCCTACCCATACAATTGACGGTGGCGGCGACCGCCCCAGACAACACCCTTGTCCTAGAATACCTAAGGGTGTGCCTATTATGCCATCTAGTGTGCGCTAATTTAGTGAAGGTGTCAATCTAATTAAATGTGTGTACTTCTAGTTATAAGTTTGATTAGGTGGTGCTCAAATTTATTAACTACAGTGTGTTCAATGGTTAAGCTGTTAGTGATTTAGGCTAATTTATTATGCCGCTTGATTTCTGAAATATCCCAACGAGCATGCGAATTACAAGCGAGCCAAACAAACGTGTGAACTATCGGCCAAGCAGGTGCACGATTATGTGGGCTGCGCCATGAGGATGTGCGAGCCCAATGAAGTTATCTTAGACATCATTGAATTTCTCGAAGAGTGGATAACAAGAAGAGAGCCGTGACATAAATTGCTTCTAATCACATTCAAAGGAGACTGTGGAGCTTTATATAGCATCCATTAATGCATGCTTTCCCTTCAAAACTCCCATCGCTACTATTTACTCTTTACAGCTCCTTCATGCTGTCTTCTGATAGCAATATCAATGTTTGAAGGTCCTTAATTGCATTTTATTTTTTCCTTAATTTATTTTTTAGTTGTTTTCCTGATTTATCTGATTTGTGTGAAGGTTTCTGTAGGAAGACCATTTCTAAGCATGGTAGAAACTTAGTGAGCTCAGCTTCATTGCACACCTGGATGGCTCCAATTTCATAAACATTGCAGGTTCTCAACTTGATCATCTTGAAATCATTCTGACCCTCCGCTCTTTCAGAACTTGAAACAAGAGTTGTAGAACACTCGAGGACGAAACTCCATTGTCGAAGCAAATCAAGGTTGAGAAATAGACTGCAGTCTAAGATCAGACTGCAGAAGTCATGAAAGCAATTATTGAAGCAAACTCAATGCCTGCAAGCTCAGAATAAACTGCTCTTTTTTGTTAAAATTCAATGCAAACCATTCCTAAGCTTTCATTATCTTTGGTGGTGCTGTATGTAGAGTTTCTTCTTCATGGATCATTCAGAAGATACTGCACTGTTTGTCTTCAGATATGAGTTTTGTTTCTTTAGTTCTCGTTTGGATGAATAGATTGTGAAGGAAAAAGGAAGAAATTTTCTGGAATTTTAATTCGAAATCAATGTTTGTTTTGGCCAAAGTGAGCTTGGGTTGGATGAAATTATCAATGTTCTATTAATTTGATCAAAATATTTAGGGGCATTTACATGCATGCTATGCAATTCTTATGTATTTACATATCTAACATCTAAATTTTTCACTTTTACATTTATACGACCCAAAATTTTCATATCACATCAAAAGTTTTTCTATTTTAGTTTTGAGGAGGCGAAATACATGTTTTTCACTCATAGGTATGTTGTCATACATGTAAAAATTGAAGTTTAGGTGTTGTTAGATATGTAAATGCATAAGAATTGAGTGATATGTATGTAAATCTTCCAACTATGAATTAAAGATTTTATTAGTGTAAAAAACTTATGAGATTTTATGTCAACATTTTATATAAAAAAGCTAGTATCTTTATAGTGGTGAAACACAATTTGCTAAAGCCCTCAAAATCATAATATTTACATTCATACCACTGAAATCTTTATTTTTATGAAAAATATTTCGTATTCTAGAAACGAAATTAAGGTTTACATTATTAAAACTATTATTTATATGGCGATGTAACGATTTTAATATTAAATTGCATATAAAGTTCAAAACCTAAACTATTAATAAATTATGTAAAACTCAAAACCATTAAACTTCGAAGTAAAATATGAATTGAAATTAAAAGAAATAAGGCTTCACATGAAAATTATGATACATCAAAACTATAAGAACATATATGTCATGTAATATCAAGCTATACAATAAGAACCAATGCGTACTAGAAAATTTGAGGCGATAGAGTAATTGATTATCGTCTTAGTGTTGCACGAGAATTCAACACACATGCAGGTTAAAGAAAACAATAGGTAATGACACCGAAAGTTTTACATGGAAAACCAGTAAAGAGAAAAAACCACGGGGTCTAACTCAGATATAAAAATCTACTATAAATTGATAATTATAGAGACTCTTGCACGAGAATTCAACACACATGCAGGTTAAAGAAAATCTAGTGTCCCACATACGGGAAAGGGTTACTAAGTTTTCCGAGTTACAACATCGACTTGCGGCTTCCGGTTGGTGGTGGTCGACGATGATTGGTGGCGATCGACGGTGGTCAACGATCGATGATTGTAGGTGGTGGTTGACAACGACAGTAGTGCTTAAAGGTGGTTGGTAGTTGTCAAAGGTGGTCGACAACCATCGAGGGCTATTGGCGGTGATCGATCATAGTTGGTGGGTGTCGATGAAGATCGGAGGCGATTGATGGTGGACGACGGTCGGCTGTGGTCGATGACTGCGAACGATGATCGACGGCAACAGGGGTGTTACTGGACTTCAGCTTCTTCTCAAAATCTCAAGTTCTCTATCAAGCCTCTAACCCCTTCTCATGAGAGGGGTGAGACTCTGTTTATAGTGTTCTGAGTACAATTAATGCAGGAATATGAACCACTTTGATCGCATGGTCCGGAGAGCTTAATTCAATTTGACTATATTTGGTGGACATTTTAGTGTCTTAACGATGTCATAATCGAGCAACCTTGGGTTTGTTGGATTTGTCTTGTCAAGATCCTCAATTAGACTATAGGATTGCGAGATTCGACATTTGTTTAACCTTCTAAATATATCTATAAACTTGCAAGAGTGGCTTAATGACTTAATATGAGTTTGATTTGACTTGGATTGGACTAATTTTACTAGCATTGGGTTATTCTTGTCGAGCTGGTCAGTTTGACTGTAAGTTTGATAAAATCGGAATTCTATGTGAGGCTTTATTGAGGTTCGAATATTTCTTTCCAAAAAAGTGTCTCGAGATCTATGTCATGCTTCGAGATTTATGTCGGATGATGGAGATTTGCTCGAGATGGAGATGTATCAGGAATATAGACCTACTTAAATGAAGATGCGATGTTTAATAAATCCCATAAATTCACATAGCAGTCAAATTTAGTATATTTGAATTTAAGTCGAATAAAAGATGAAATGATAGAGAATTAGATTTAATTGTAGGATTTAACTTTTCTTTTCTTTTTTTTTAAGTATTTGACTGATTTATGTTAAATTCACCAATCGATCCTATTAAAGGTATGCTACGAAACACCCAATATAAGTCATAATACACAATGCTCACAATACCATCTCTCTTCGTTTTTTTTTTCTTTTTTTTTTTTTAAGTGTATTAATTCACAGACAAATCAAAATCATATAATAATAAATTTTATGTTATATATTAAATAAATATAAAATAGATGTAATAATTATAAAAATTAAGTTATTAAAAAAATATTACAAATAATTTCTTGGTGGTTAAATAATTATTTTTTTTTGTTGATCATGTTCGCATCATATCATTTAAAATATGTGCGTCAGCATTATTTAGAATTTTATTTAATGTATATTTTAATTTTATCTTGAATGATTAAATTAGTTTGAACTATATTATGTCTATCTTAAATCTTATTTGATTATATTATCATGATATAAAAATACTTTTAGCCTTTGTTAATGAGAAAAATATCAATACATTCAAACTTCATGTATAAAAATATTACACATTTTATATAGTTTGATCTGCATGATATATGACATGTAACTTACACATTAAGTCTTCCCGTCGAGTTTAAGCGACCTCCCTCTTCTCTTCTTGTCGTCGACTTTGGGAATCGCTACCGGGAGGAGGAGAGGAAAGAGACAATGGGGGTGTTCTCGAACATGATCTCTAGGGAGGAGCTGAAGCCCGGAGATCACATCTATTCATGGAGGACAGCCTACATATACGCTCATCACGGTTCGAAACCTAACCTTCCTCTTGAGCGTCTGCTTTTTTGAAGTGGTTGTTGGATCTGGGAGGGTTTCGCAATCCCTTTCAATCATCTGGTTTTTTAAGTTTATGTTTTATCTCCGAAGAGATGGATTGGAATGTGTGTATTTAACTTTTTTTTTTCTTTATTAATCTCTAGGCTTTTTGGAAAAGGGTTTTCTCGGTTTAAGCAACAAATTTCGAGAAATTGGTTGCAAATTTAGAAATGATGCACGGCTGTTATGTTTTTTGGCTTGTGAAATTGCTGCGAAGAAAAACTCGGTTTAGATTTTCTGTTTTATTGGAAGATTGTTCTTGAATGATGATTTGCCAACGTTCAAGTGGGAGGATTAGTGGTATTTCTTTTATTGGAAGGTTGATCTTAAATGATAAGTTGCGAACATTCACAAGAACAAAGGTATTGTTTTTTAAGCGGTTCATTGTCTGATTTTACCGGAGATATTTGAAGGAACAGGGCATTTAAGATATTTCAATCATAGTTTCATTGTTAGGCGCCTTAATAGTGTATAGTTTCAATGCAAGGCACCTTAAACAGAGAGCAAGGAACGGTGATGTTTTATGGTGCTTGGAATTAGGATTTGTAAAATATATGATCCGTAGGGGTGTTATGTTCATTATATTTTAAATGTTAGATTATTGCATAAAGAACAAAACAAGCTATTTGCTGCTTAAGAGACTATGGAGCTCGAGGTAGAGCAACTACATCAAGAAAGTTATAATAATAATGATCAAAGTTTGGCTGTAGCACATTATGAGAGTCTGGACAGCAAACTATGTTAAAAATTTTATTATGGATTGTTAGTGGACAAACCTCATTGTGCAGTCAAAGAATGACAGAGTTGTAGTCATGTCGATCAAATAGCATATGCCTTGTTATAGATTTGATAAGTCTTATAGAAAAACAATGGAGAGTGATGAAAGAAGTAAATCACAGCAGGTTATGCAATTAAGAAATATTATGATTAAAGAAAAACAACATTTGAGATTTGGTGGACATACCACTACACCAAAAGGTCGTTAGTTGCAAGTGATTGTTAAAAAAGAAGTATAGTTCTATTGAATCTAAGGGAATTAAATTCAAATAAATACTGATTGCAAGCTGCTTCTTATACTAAGAATGTGTGAATTGCAATGGCATATCTTATCGCATTGTGAAGCACACATCAATTATAATCTTGATTGTCGTTCTTACTCAATTCTGTATGGTGCTTGAAAAACTGGATGTGAGTTCCACTTTCTTTTCATGGAGTGTTGGTAGAAGTACTAATCATAATGTTATCTAATTATTTCATTGAAGTGGGAGTTGAAAATCAATTATATCTTCTTAAATGATCCTTGCATGTGCTTTAGCAATTATCAAGAATGTCGTGCATGATTTTTCATAGTTACATATTGAGGATTAGTCTAAAAAAAGTTATTATGATTTTTAAGTTTATATGAGATCATGGAGTTTAGCAATTATTCATCTTCTTTTGTATGTTGACGTGTTTATTGCTAGTAAAGGATGATGAAAATATCAAAAATTAAAATAATGCTTCAAGATGAGTTTAAAATGGAAGATTGCTTAATGCTTCTTATAAGAAGATTCTCAGAGTAGTTAAAGAAGAAATAGATTTTCTAAATAATTATTTATATCACACATTTCTTTCTTAGAAAGGCTACTTAACAGGCTTGAAATGTAGGTTTTAAAAGCTATTATAACATCTTTGGCCTAATATATGAAGCTGAGCAAGTACTATTCACTATCGAATGACAATGAAAGAATTTATATGTGTGGGCAAGTAACTGAAATGCAGTTTGGAGCATTATGGATGTGATTTAGTATACCTAATTTGAGCACAATCTCAGTACAGCTAGGTGGTTGATTCAGATCAGAATAATTGAGGCATAATAAAATTACTTGTATAGGATTTGTGCATAATATATGAATTGGGATTGAGATCTCGTGTAATTTCACATGAAGAGATAATTGAAGGGTATGTTGATTCTTATTTGGCCGCAAATGTGGATTTTTAAAAGAAAGTTATTGACTAGTTTTGTAATTAATTTTTTTAGAAACATAGTCAGTTGAAGATCCTGTTTGCAATCAGTAGTGGCTCTCTCTTCTGCAAAATTTCAATATGTTGTTGCGTTTGAAGTTATGATCGAAGCCTTTTTGGATGAAAACGATGATGTGTGAGCTGGCTCAATCAATATTTTTCACATACATTGTTGATTTACTGTGACCGTCAAGATGATGTGTGTTTGTCCAAAATCTTGCTTATTATGGAAGAACAAAGCATGGGGATTTAAAATTTCATTTCATTAGGGATGCGGTGACAAAGAACTGGTAATCATTTTTTTTAACGGTTAAAACTGGTAATCATTTAAACATGTTAACAAAGGCAATTGTTTAAAAGTAAATTTCACTATTGTTGGGAGATGTTGAATGTGGTTCTAGTACGGTTTTAAATTTTATTTTTACTGTTTTCTTATTATTTGTCTTAGCAACTAACCTATTAAATTTAGTTTTTGACAGCTTTAGGTTAGTTATTAAGTTTGTTGTTTTCATATTGTATAGCTTTCTTAGGTATAGATTCTTTAAATATTTTATAATATAATGTTTGTGAGAGATAATTATGAATGAATAAACCATTTTTCCTCTCTCTATTTTTCTTTGCCTCTTCCTTTCTTCCTCTCTTCCTTTTTTTTGGTCCATGTGCCATTCTTTGAGAGGCAATGCAATTCTTCAACCCAACCGAACAATTTTTTTATGATACCAAAACAGAAGGGATGAATCTTGCAACTTCTCTCATGCAAACGAACAAGGTTGCTAGCTTTGAAGAATCTAGGAAGATTTTTATTTCTTGCTCGCTCAATGCATTACATCTTACTACATATATATAATAGTATGACCGGCATATCAATTTACAAAATAGGAAAATAGAATCCTTTTATATTAAATTAGGAATCCCACCAAGTTTTAAAACAAAAAAATAGGAATTATCTAATGAAGGAAAAACAAATAATAAAAATATATTTTGAAAGAAAAATAAATTCCTTCCTAATCAAGCATGAGGATTGACACTTACTTACATTAAACTTGATCAGATTATTTATTTGCTAAGTATTTTTGACAAGCATAAACTTGTAATATATGTCATGAAGGGTGAAGTTCATCTGAATACATCCCATTCACAAAATCACTTAATAATTTCATCTATTATGAGGAGAAATATGATCTCATTATTTAAAAATATCAATTAAGTTTTCCAGCAGAAAATTTTTCTTCAGGATATATTTTCCCTTAAAAGTAGGGCTCTTTCTTGGCAGAAGAAAAGGCATTTGAAGGTTTCTTTTTTTCTTTTTTTTTTTTTGAATAGTTTTAATTTGCTCTATATGTGCTTGGACTTTACGAGTGCTCGATGCATTTTGATACATTTGGATCTCAGCGAGGTTTCATTTTGGTTATTTTCTGTGGTGGTTTTGCATTACGGAAATATGAACAATTAATTAAGATAAGATAGCAGAGACTTGATAGTATAAAATGCCAGGTGCATTTGATTATTTAACGTATGATTATTACTCTTGTACTATGAGTATAACAATAGTTTTCATTAAAAGTTTATTCATAATTAAGGTACCAATTTTCAATATTAATGTGTATCAAAATTTTCGTAATGCCCAGCCATTCGGTAATAGTGAGTAATTCAATGGACAGAATTAGAATTAGTATAGAAAATTTCAAGTAAACTAAGACAATAAAGATTTAGTGCAGTGATTATGAACTTCAGGAGGAATATCTTAATCATTATCCTTATGTCAATATTTGGGCCGTCTTTTTAAAAACCCAAATATTTTGGGATTTGTATTTTGATTCCTCATTTTCCATAGTTGCAGCCAGCGAAAATATAATGCAACGGAAAATGTCATCTTTGCATTATCAACGTGGACACAGATTTTCCTTCTTCAAAGTTATATTTGATCTCAAAACTCAATCTGTTCATCTTTCACATTTTTAATTTCCTGTCATTTGCATCATATGGATGAGTCTTTGATCATCTATCTTTAGGTTTGAATGTATAAGCCATATTTAGGCTCTTACTAATATAGAGTTGTTTCCTTGATTCACTTTCCTAGTATGCTTGCACTTGAGAGAAAATTCTGTTCTATTCCAGATGAAATGAATTTTTCCTAACTCTAGTTGGTTGACTGTATCCATCTTTCCATTTATTTTTTATACTGGAGAAATTTGCTAGAAATCTTAGTTTATTAATTCTTCCGAAGATTAAGAAGTTATTCTGTTTTAGAATTTTCTCAAGGTTTGATTTCTACTGATCGATTTACAACAAACCTAACAGATGGTAGTACTTCGTGATTATGACGTTGAATGTATAACTAAGACAGTTTTTTTAGTCCATCCGAATATTTCTTTGAGTCGCTTGGCATCTAAATTTCATTGAATCATACTCTATAAATGTGGAATAAGATTGATATCTTTCAAAGAAAAAAAAAACAAATGTCAGGTTGTGTCATGGATCTGCAAAAGAGTATTTTAGTTGACCCAAGAAATAAAAATTGTTTCCTGCCTAGATCTAACCAGTCTTCACAGTGGAGAACTAGAGTGAAAGAAGTGGAATTCTAATCGTTAGATGTCTATTGAAACCGTTATCCAAATTTTGATCTTATTCAAAGGGTAAAACAGGAAATATCTAAATTTTCCTTTTCAATTTACACGGATGGAATTGTTTAGCAGGCATGCACAATCTACATTCCGTTACCTTTAACTAGTAAGATCCATAAAAACACATCATTATAGACAGGCTGCCAATGAAAGCGATTGTTGTCATCATCATGCCTTTGTCTTCCCTCCTTCCTCAGGTATTTATATAGGAGATGATATGGTCATCCATTTCACAAGAGCAGCAGGCCAGGAGATTGGTACTGGAACTTTCCTGGACAATCTTTTCCTTAGCTCCTCTCCATCACCAACCAACACCATATGTGAGATATGTGGTGATCAGAGTAAGCTCCATGGAGTTATCAAATCATGTCTTAATTGCTTCCTTGCTGGAGGAAATCTCTACATCTTTGAGTACGCTGTTTCTTCTGCCTTCTTCATCGCCAAAGCTCGAGGAGGAACCTGTACTTTAGCTGCTTCAGATCCAGCAGAGGATGTCTTGCACCGGGCCAAGTCTCTTCTCAACGAAGGATTTGGCGGCTACAGCCTTTTCAAGAATAACTGTGAGGATTTCGCTATCTATTGCAAGACCGGTTTTCTTATTGAGACAAATTACAGCATAGGCCGAAGCGGCCAACTGGCATCATGGACGGCAGCTGCTTCAACAGTCATGTCTTCCCCGCTTCGCTACCTCACAACCAGTGGGACTGGTTTGGTGGTTGTGGCGGGAACGATGTACTCGCTCAGCCGCTACATTGCTGATATCGGTGTACGGCGTGATGTCGTCAAGATCCCTGTGGAGAGGCTGATCGAAGAGGCTGGTGCTGAAGAAGAACCTCAGCAAGCTGTAGGATTGCTGACAATTTGATGCAAAAGTGTCATTTGATCATTATGTTATTTGAAATATATTTGGAAGAACTTGTGCTTTGATACTGCTGCTAATTGTTTTCAGAACAATTTACAGATGTCTAATTTCTACTATGTCAGTATTTATATTTAAATGTTTCTTGAGGTTGAAAGATGTGAATTGGCATTTGTGCAAGCAATGTTCCTTTCTTGCTGTTTTATTGTTTATGTAGTAATAATACCATATTTGATCTAAACATGTTCACAAACATAAACAAACATATTTGAATCGATAAGCGGAAGCGAGATAGGATTATACATACATCCAGTCATAACTTACACGAACAAAGTCGACACTCACAACTCTCACGGCAAATTTTCTGTTATAGATCTTCTAAGTTTTTCTCACTCACAATCCGATAGTGCAAATAAAATGAAGATGCGTAAGCTTAGGGATCAAAACAGCAAGTATCACGTCTAATTATAGTGCTCTGCCAATCACAGAGTTCAACAGACGTGAGCAGGACATATGCGAATTTTTCTTGCATTATGAACGTTATGGAGCGTTACTGAATTCTAATGTTGAGCTTAGACACTATATGTATTACATTTCAAAATTTATTTCCCTTGAAAACAACAAGGAATTCCAACGATAATTAAAATGAAAACAAAGCATTAATTAATTTGGGAATTATAATGAAAAAAAATTATTTCCCTTGAAAATAGCAAGGAATTCCAACGGGGATTGAAATTAAAACAGAGCATTAACTAATTTGGAAATTGTAATAAAAGAATCCCAACATTCTCCCACTTGGTCCATATAGTTCAACACACACCATATAGAGAAGCAAAACTATATGAATCATGGTGATAGATCCTCTTATAGTGAGTATTATCTTTCATGTATTACACTATATCAAGTCTCTCAACACCAGCCCATACAACTTAATGAATAAATTATATGTCTATTCCAAGTCCAAACCAAATGAGATTTCTCAAAATAAACGAATGAATAAATATGTGCACAAAACCATATGAGAAAACATCAACTGAATTAAGAGTTTCATTAAAACAATAAATGTTCACATTATGGAACCAAGTCCCATTCGTACTACATGATCCTTAAAATTTTTTGGTGGCATGCCTTTCGTCAAAGGATCAGCAATCATCAACTGAGTGCAATTTGTTCAATGACCACTTTCTTTTCCTTAACACGTTCTCTTATGGCTAAATATTTGATGTCGATGTGTTTACTTCGACTTCCACTCTTATTGTTATTAGTCATAAATACTGCAGCTGAGTTGTCACAGTACAACTTTAATGACCTTGAAATAGAGTCCACGACTCTAAGCCCAGATATGAAACTCTTCAACCATACACCATGCGAGGTAGCCTCAAAACAGGATACGAACTCAGCTTCCATAGTGGAAGTAGTAGTCAAGGTCTGCTTAGCACTTCTCCAAGATACAGCTCCACCAGTTAACATGAAAATATAACCAGATGTTGATTTTCTTAAATCAATGCAGTCAGCGTAGCTTGAATCGGAGTAGTCAATCACCTCCAAATTATCAGTTCGTTTGTACATAAGCATGTAGTCCTTTGTACCTTGAAGATATCTCATCACTTTCTTTGCAGCTTTCCAGTGGTCGATACCTGGATTACTCTGATATCTTCCCAACACTCCAACATCAAATGCAATGTCAGGTCTGGTACAAACCTGAGCATACATAAGGCTTCCGACAGCTGAAGCATATGGAATGTTCTTCATGTGTTCCCGTTTGAAATTATTTTTCGAGCACTGACTCAAATCGAATCTATCACCCTTCACAAGAGGTGATATACTCGATGAATAATTCTTCATATGAAATCTCTCTAGAACTTTATTGATATAGGTCTCTTGAGACAAACCGAAAATACTTCGAGATATTTCCCTATGGATCTTAATGCCAATGACATATGTTGCCTCACCCATTTCCTTTATATCAAAGTTCTTGGAGAGGAATTGTTTCACCTCATAAAGTAAACCCCTATCATTGGTTGCAAGTAAAATATCATCCACATAAAGTACAATAAAACAAATTTTACTCCCACTAACATTCTGGTATATACATTGATCCATTGCGTTCTCTTCAAAACCAAATGAAATAATAATTTCATGAAATTTCAAATACTACTGACGGGAGGCTTGTCTCAAACCGTATATGAATTTATTTAGCTTGCATACCAAGTGCTCTCCATCACTAGAGAATCATTTTGGTTGTTTCATGTAAACCTCTTCCTCTATATCACCATTAAAGAATGTCGTTTTCACATCCAGTTGATGTAACTCAAAATCAAAATGAGCTACCAATGTCATAATTACTCAGAGAGAATCTTTTTTAGATACAAGAGAAAATGTCTCCGTATAGTCAATTCCTTCTCTCTAAGTGAACCCTTTGGCAACGAGTCTCGCCTTATGTCTCTCAATGTTACCTTGTGAGTCTTTCTTTATTTTGAAAACTCATTTACATCCAATGGTTTTTACACCATTAGACAACTCGACGAGATCTCAGACTCGATTAGATGCCATAGAATCCATCTCTTCTCTCATGGTATTATGCCACAAGTTTGATTCCTTAGAACTCATGGCTTGTGAAAACTTTTCAGGATCATTTTCGGCTCCAATGTTGTAGCTCGATTCTTGAAGATACACAACTTAATCACTAGGTATAGTTGATTTTCTTTTGATTTTCTTTCTCTAGTTAGCTGATTTTCTTTCTCTAGTAGACCTTCTTAATGTTGTTTCAACATTCTCCTCAAGAGCATGTTGTTCAACTGGAACAATACCAATACCTTGTTGTTCCTTATTTACAACTTGATCTACTTGATCATTATTAATAGCTTGTGGAACTTCAGCAATTAGTTGTCTAACACCTGTTTATCCTTGAGGGGTGTGAATAACAATCAATTTGTCACTTGACCTAGAGGGTTGAGTTTCGCAGTGATCCTTTTCTGAAACAATATCCTGAAATTGATCACTCCCACTGATCAAGTCATACTCAAGAAATTTTACATTTCTTGATTCCACAATCCTAGTGCTATGAGACGGACAATAGAATCTATACCCTTTAGACCTTTCAGCATATCCAATAAAATACCCACTAATGGTCCTTGGGTCTAACTTCTTTTCTTGTGGGTTGTAAATTCTTACTTCATACGGGCATCCCCAAACGCATATATGTCGCAAACTTGGTTTCCAACCTTTGAATAACTCAAAAGGCGTCTTTGGAACATCCTTGGTTGGAACTCTGTTTAATATATACGCAGGCGTCTTTAGAGCTGCAGTCCAAAAGAATTAAGGGAGTTTCGTGTTACTCCGCATACTTCTCACCATGTCCATTAAAGTTCGGTTTCTTCTTTCTGCCATGTCATTCTGATCCGGAGAACCAGACATAGTGTGTTGGGCAACAATCTCATGTTCTTGAAGAAACTTCGCAAATGGAGCAGGTGCTAGTTCACTCTCTGTGTATTTTTCATAGTACCCCTCACCTCTATCTGACCTCATATCTGACCTCACCTTTCCACATTGATTCTCCACTTCAGTCTTAAAGATTTTAAAGGCATCCAAAACTTCGTCCTTAGAACGAAGTAGCTTTTAAAGGCATCCAAAGCTTCGTCCTTAGAACGAAGTAAGTAGAGATACATATTATGAAGGTGACAAAGTATTAAGGTGACAAAGTATTTTGGACTAACTACATCCATGTCTGGACAACAAATATCTGTATATATAATCTCCAATAAGTTTATGCTCCTCTTGGCACCTTTTTAGACTTATTAGTTTGTTTACCCTTTATGCAATCTATACAAGTCTCAAAGTCAGCAAAATCCAAAGTCTAAGTACCCCTTCATTTATCATTCTTTTAATTCTCTTAATGGAAATGTGTCCTAATCTCCGATGCCACAACATAAAGGACTCATCATTCACAACACATCGTTTTAACCCAACAGTAACATGCATAGAATTATAAGCAACATCATTTTGCAATTCAATAGAGTAAAGACCATCAAACAAAATACCATAACCAATAACCTTAGATTCATAAGATAAACTAAAATCAGAATCCAAGAAGTTAAAGGAAAAACCCAAAGGTACAAGTCTTGAAATAGAAATCAAATTCCTAGAGAAACTTGAAACATAAAAAATCTTTTCCAATCATAAAATGAAACTGCTGCTTAAAACCAAGCTGCACGTGCCAATGACTTCTACATGTGAACTCATCTTGCTTTCTGAATAGATGCATTGTTCACTTCCCACTGGCTTCCTTAGGTTTTGTATACCCTGCAAGGTATTAGAAACATGGATTATATAACCAGAATCAATCCACCATGTGTTATGATTAACACTAACCATATTAGACTCATAACAAACGAATGAAAGTTAAGTACCTTTCTTGTCGAGCCAGTTCTTAAACTTGATGCAGTCTTTCTTCATGTGTCTCTTCTCTCTTCTTCTTACAGAAGAAACACTTTAACTCTTTCTTTATGTCTGGCTGAGGAGGAATCTTGCTATTTCCCTTATCATTGGTTTGATCCCTCTTCATCTTTCCTTGAGTAGTGAAATTCACCTTTTCACCCTCTTCCATTGCCAACCTACCTTCTTCTTGGCACACATGGTCAACAACTCATTAATTGACCATTTGTCTTTATGTGTGTTATACGAGATTTTGAAGGGTCCATATTGTTGGGGCAAAGTGTTCAGAATGAAATGAACCAGGAAAGATTCCGACATTTTAACTTCCAAAGCTTTAAGATGAGCCGCTATGTCCCTCATGTGCATGATATGATCACGCACGCCTTTAATTTCGGTGAGCTTCATGAATAAAAACTGCATAATTAAGGTGTTGACAAGAGCCTTGTCAGATGTTGCAAAATGCTCATCGATGGCTTTCAGAAGGTCCTTGACCTTATTATGCTACTCGACAGAACCACGGATACCAGCAGATATCTTAGTCTTTATGAACATCACAGAGAGGCGATTGGATCGCTCCCATTTTTCATAAAGATCAACAACATCCGGAATACTGGTTTCAGTAATGATAGGTGGTTCGTCTTTTCTTATAGCATAATCAATATTCATCCATCCTAAATGGAGAATAACTCTCTTTCCACACCTTATAGTTATTACCCTTTAATTCGGGAATGTCACACTTAAAATCAGAAATGTTCGCAGGTTGAATAACTGTAATTTTTTTCAAATATACATACGAAATTTTTTTTTTTGAGACCCAAAAACAAAATGACATGTTTTGCCAATGTAAATCATTCTCAAATTGATGAATCTAAAGACATAGAACTTGCTTGTGGACAAAAAATCCTACTCAAATAGATTCATCTAACAACTTTATGATAAAACTATCAAATTATGTTCCTTTTCTTAATTCCTGTGGGTAGATTAAGAAATATAAGTTGATATTTCATCCTAATTAATCATTACAAATATAACAAAATTCCTGTGGGTAGATTTCATTATATCTCCTATGATTAATTACAACAAATATTTTAATATGGCTCTTGAACTTAATATATATAATTTTAATAAATTAAAGATGTTGTGGCTATTACCTAATTAATTAAAATTATATGAATCAACTAACATTAATTAGTTCTTTATTAAGAGCTAAACATTTGCATGCAAATAAAATGAATAACAGTGTTTTTTTTACTCAAAACGACATGTCGTTTTGCATGAGGATGCTGGTTTTTGCCAAATGAAAATGACACGTCGTTTTCACCAGCGCCCAGACGACAAGTCGTTTAGCTTGTCTTCAATCTTCAGCCGGGTCATCTCGACCCGGTTCAGACCCGCGGCTCCGAATGGGAAACCCGACAGTTTTTCAGCAAAAATCAATGGTTCAAATCACAGAAAGCTTAGAAACTTGATTTCAACATGATTTCCGGTTTTTTTTTTGGATTAACAACGTCAAAATTCTAATGCCCTAAAATCAAAACGTTTTCTCCAAAACCGAGCAATAATATGGGATATTAACCTTAATGTCTCAACAAAGATCTATGCATAAACAGAGTGAAACAGTAAGCAAGACAGGTTACACATGCTCTGATACCAAATGTATTAATAATATCATATTCGATCTAAACATGTTCTCAAACATAAACAAACATATTTGAATCGATAAGCAGAAGCGAGATAGGATCATACATACCTCCAGCCATAACTTACACGACTCACAACTCTCACGGCAAATTTTTGTTATAGATCTTCTAAGTTTTTCTCACTCACAACCCGATCGTGCAAATAAAATGAAGAGGAGCAAGCTTAGGGACCAAAACAGCAAGTATCACGTTTAATTATAGTGATCTGCTCATCACAGAGTTCAAAAGAAGGGAGCAGGGCGTATGCGAGTTTTTCTCGCATTATGAACGTTATGGAACGTTACTGAATTCTAGTGTTGAACTTAGACACTATATGGACCACATTCTGAAATTTATTTCCCTTGAAAACAACAAAGAATTCCAACGGGAATTGAAATTACAACAGAACATTAATTAATTTGAGAATTGCAATGAAAGAAATTTATTTCCCTTGAAAACAATTGAAATTAAAACAGAGCATTAATTAATTTGGGAATTATAATGAAAGAATCCCAACGTTATGAACATCCAAGAGAACTTAGGAGTAGTGTTTCATTGATCCAACCTGAACATTATATATAAAAAAAGGAAATTTCATTGATCCAACCTGAACATTATATATAAAAAAGGAAAATTTACATACATACCATTCAATCTTTATGTATTTACATATGTAACACCTAAAATTTAATTTCTAAATATATGACATCTTACCTATGTATGAAAAGGTATGTTTTGCTTTTTCAAAATTGTGATGGTAGCATTTTATATGTGATGAATGATTTGGATGGTATAAATGTAAATAGCAATCTTTAAGTACAGATATGTGAATACATAGGAATTGAGTGGTATTTGTGTAAATAACCATAAAAAAAATGGATAAGGGCATTTCAACTGATTTATATTTTTATTTTATGATGAATGTAATATAAAATTTAATTGCATTTTTATTGCATATTCTGAAATAATCTACTGAGCTATTAAACAAAGCTTGCCGGTCGTCAATAGCTCATGTCAGCTCTTTAAATAACTCATGTTCAATTTATTTGTTAAATAAATAAGTCTAGATAAATATTTTTTTTTAAATTCACTTTATAAGCATGTCAAATATAAACAAACTTATTTGATATTAAATAAATAATTTTATTTATTTTAATATTATTTTTATGTTGTATTTAAATAAATCTTAATTTTTAAAATTTTAAAATTATCTGTACTGATTTTGAGCTGCATAAAAACTTGAACGAACAAGCAAAACGAATTCTGATCGAGTCAAGCACAAATATGTTATTTAGTAGCACATCAAGCTGCAATCAGTACCCATAAGAATGACTAAAGAAGGAAGCTCTCGAATCTGGAAAAGAAAATGTTCTCAGTTACAGGTTACAGGTACGTTTTGATTGAGAACAAATATACCCTAACTCTTAGGAATGTTCTTTCCAACAATCTTTGCAGGTGTAATGCGAAGAAGATTCCCAGGCTTTCCAGGTACGGCTCCTTTTATCATTACAACTCTCAATTCATTATCTATCTTGACAATCTTCAGCTTTCGGATCTTTCTTTTAGTTCCTCCCATCCTTCCGGGCATCTTTTTACCTTTATAAACTCGGCCAGGCGTTGTTCCGGCGCCGATGGAACCCAGTGCTCTATGGCTTTTAGAGCCATGAGTCATTGGCCCACGGCGAAAATTATGTCTTTTGATGCCACCTGCACAGAGTAGTTGGGCACACGGTTTGAAAAGTTCGTTCATTTTTCATTCTATACAGGAATTACCAATAAGAAAAAGAAAAGGCAAGATAAATGTACAAGATAAATGTACAAGAAAATGTACAAGAAAATGTACAAGAAAAGTTCGTTCATTTTTCAAGAAAAAGAAAAGGCAAGATAAATGTACAAGATAAAAGGGTTTACACGGATATGTTTAGCTTAAATTTCACCCAAAGAAGAACAAAGACCTCTAGCACAAAGAACCCAAAGTTATCCAAAAACTTCAGGTGGTATGGGATCAAATGACATCCAGACAATGATTTCTTAATCATTGATGCATTGTGTTAATGAAGAGAGACTGCATACACATTGGCATAGGACTTTATCAAGCTCGAACCCTCTACGTGAACAAGGACGGTTGTCATGTTGAAGAGCGAAGTAGAAGCCTCAAGTGACTCGGCCACTGGGTTCTTCTGGAACAATAAATAATCATGTTGACCGAGATGTTCAACCGAAACAAATATTCTTTTAGGAATAAACAATATATGTTCTTGGCATTTCTTCAAGTTATTGGGAACATCTTAATTAAGTTCTTCTGTCAAGTATAGCATATACTATCTACTCAAAACACTCAAGCCTCAAGTGTCTTAATTTTGCACCAGCCAATGTTGTCACTTCATGAACTCTGCTCGACTTATCCAAGCCCCTACGTGCTTGCTCCTCAATATCAGGTGAGCTTTCCATAGCTCCTTGTTACGAGGATGCCTGGCCTAAGAACAAATTTATCTTTTGTATGCCTAAGAAGAATTTAGTCTTTTATTATTATTATTATTGGGTATAAATATGCTTGTTATGTTTAGGATTAGGATTATGCATGAGATTGAGTCGTGAGTCTTAGGTCTAGGGTTTAAGAAAGATTTCATACCTCTTGAACTGTAAGAATTGAGAGAGATCGCCCACCTCTCGAATTGTAGGTGCTTGTCACTTGTAATTGTGTGAGTTGTTTGATTTATTGAAGAAATATTGATTTGCCCTAATTTTTATGAAAAATCAGTATCGATTTCTACTTCAAATCCTATCAAACTGGTATCAGATCAATTTATGAGAGATCACCGACTGGATTAATCGGCGTCCAGGCGGCATCCCCTCGCGAAACAGTCGTGATTGAAGTATCCAGGAGGAATCACGGCTTGCAAAGAACCTAAGAGCCGATACAGAAGAAGGATCGCGGCGTGCAGGCTGCCCCCCTCTCGAAACAGTGGCCATCGAAGTACCTGGGAGGAATTGCGGCTTGCAGAGATCTTAAGAGCCGATATCGAAGAAGGATCGTTGTGTGCAGGCGGCATCCCCTCGCAAAACAGTCGCGATTGTAAGTACCCGATAGGAATCGCGGCGTGCAGGGATCCTAAGAGTCGATACAGTCGTGATTGAAACCAGCTGAAGGGATCCCGACGTACAGAGATATTACCGATCGATCTGACCTTAGGCCTTCTAGTGGAATCGCGGCATTCTGGCCTTCATGATCGAATCCGACGATTCTAGCTGGCCAGGAAGCATAGAAAAGATTGGCTAACTGATGATGTATTTCAACATTGAATCGAAAATTTTTCAGGAAATAAGGCCGCCAAGAGAATAGATGATTTGGAAAAAAAATTAGATGAAAAGACGAGTCAAATAAAATTTGGGATGAAAGAGAGGTAAGTCGCCATAGAGGAGAGGTTCTCTTCTATGGAGAATCGAGTGGAGAATTGATTCGAGAGCTGGGGGAAATTGGAGATATGCTAAAGAAGCTCATTAAGATGCAATCCAAGAACCCGACGATAACTAAATTTGCAAACCTTAATCAAAAGTGCTGGAGAATCCGTGGCAAAATCGAAAGAAAAAAAGATCGAATGTGAGGGACATGAGGAAAACATTCACCATCACGAACCTCCTCTCAGGCCTTCGATTAGGGGTGGATTAGGATTTCTGCTGGAGGCATTTGGACCAAAAATTAGAGAAGAGATTATGTCAGGGGTATGAAGGAGCATGAATAAGAAGGGAGAAGCAAGGAGGGGATATGGCTACGGTGAAAGGAAAGAGTTTTACCCTCGACATATGGGAGGAAACAACAGAAAAAGAGGAAATTAGGGTGAAGATGTTAGTTAGGAAGTTGAAGATGCCAATCTTTGAGGGGGAAGACACACATGGGTGGGTGTATCGGACAGAGCAATACTTTGCGGTGAATGAGTTAGACGGGGAGAATAAACTCATGGCAGCATGATTTTGTTTGGAGGGGTAAGCTTTAGTCTGGTTTCAGTGGAGGGAGGCTCGTGGGATGAATTTAAGGATTGTTTGTTGGAATGTTTCTGAGCCATTCAGGAATGAGACTTACACAAGCAATTTTATGCCTTGACTCAGGAGGAAACAATCATAGAATACAGGGAGATAATTGAACTATTGTCGGGATGAATGTGGGGGATTTTATGAAAAGCTTAAAGCCCGACATACGGACAATACTTCGACTACTAAGACAGCAGCGATTGAGGGAGACGGTGAAGCTAGCTTAGATGATGGAAGACAATAACAAGATGAAGAATGCCAACATAAGCAACATAGATGGAGCGGCGTACGGAACGACTACAACCATGTCAACGCCAAAAGTTCAAACAAAGGAAGTCCAAAGAGAGGTTACACGGGACACAAATAATGGACCACAATCGGAAGCAACACTCAAGCGCCTTACTGAACAGAGATTCAGGAGAAACAAGCCAAAGTTTTGTGTTTTCGCTGTGATGAGAAGTTTACTCCAGGACATTGAAGATCAAAGATTACAAGTTCTCATGGTGCAGAATGACGAAGCAAAGAATGAAGAAATAGAGGCAGTTGTGGGGGAGGAAGAATACTCATATTTTCCCACCTTGAAGATAATGTATCTTTTGACAATGGGAGAATATTGTTACGAGGACGCCCAACCTAAGCACAAATTTATCTTTTGTATGCCTAAGGACAATTGAGTTTTTTTTTTATTATTATTATTATTATTGCGTATAAATATGGTTGTTATGTATAGGGTTAGGATTATTTATGAGATTGAGTTGCGAGTCGTAGTTCTAGGGCTTGAGAGAGATTTTCTGCCTCTCGAATTATAGGAATTGAGAGAGATTTCCTGCCTCTCGAATTATAGGAATTGGGAGAGATCGTCTTCCTCTCGAATTGTAGGTGCTTATCTTTTGTATTTGTGTGAGTTGTTTGATTTATTGAAGAAATATTGGTTTGCACTAATTTCTGTGAAAAGTCTGTGTCGATTTCTACGTCAAATTGTATCGCTCCCCCATCAAACTTTTAAAACATTCCCAAAGTCGATATCCCTTGATGTTGTGATCTTTCTACAGGGTTCGTTGCAATTCAAAGCTAAATCAATAGTAGAGGTGTGTATGCAAGCACAAGCGCGTCTACTTGTGTGTGTGTAACACCCCATATGTTATAAACTCCCAAAATAAGGAGGAAAGTGGTGCACCTACTAGCTTAGAATGAAAGCTGAACTCTCTCCTCAAGTCGAGTGACTATTTTATTGTCGAATACTTCCAAGTTGTTGAGGGCTTTATGCTTGTCGAAAAGCAAACTACTTCTCCTCTTGACACCAAGTAAGTATGTTTACTCGAAAATCTCTTATGGCCACTCTTGAGGTCTTCACATGCATTCCATTCGGTTCAATTAGAAGTCCATTCTAATTCACTTATTCTAGAAGCTCATCATCCCACTCCTAACAAGATGAGTCACATTTTTTCTAGTAAAAGAACAATGACAACTCCAACTCTTTGCAAGGCTCATCACAGGCCATACACACTCCAACTCAATGCATGTCCTCCGTATGAATTACCATCACCATAATAGGCATTTGACCTTTTCCCCACAAATTGCAATTATTACATTGCAAGAGTAAGAACGGGGGAGACAGAGGCAGACAGAGGGGCGAGAAGTTTTGGAAGAGAGAGGGAATCTCTTCCCTATAAGATAAACCATTTCCCAAATCGAAGAATATTAGAACCTCATCTTCTAGACAACGACCATCGCCACCCCACTTCAAAGATATTTCAGTCTAAGGGAGCATTATCCTCTCAACATCCACTCAAGAAGGTTTTCGAGAAGAGGAATTGCTTAGCCTTAAAGGTTTCATTTTTGTCTTCAAAAATCTTATATTAGTTCTATGAAATTTTTTATGTATACAAAATAACTCTATTTCCTCAGTACAATAGATAGAGGCCTTAGCTTTCGAACTACCAGAAATTTTATCCCCATTCTATGCTATGATCCTTCATGTCTATTGCATTAACATGAGTGCTGCTCGTGATGATGATAAAAAATCAAATTTCAAGAAGTTGCTCGGCTCCTCAAACCCAAATAGCCGTGTTTTTCTCTCCGTATCAAGCAAAAGTAAAAAAATCAAGATTCATACCCGAATAGACAAACTGCAGATCTATCTTAGTCACCATAGGCATACTTTCCAAGATATGATCTTATTTGTCTTAAACTCACCTATGTTTTGGCATATGGTAGATTGCCAATCTTCATTTTGGACAACAAAATTTCTCTTGAGAGACCTTATGAGGTGATGAAAACCATTGTACAATGGTGTGGACTATATTAAAGAAAGACTAATCTATGTAAAACTGTAACGTTTAAAAAGCAAGCTCTCAACTTTGGTATTGCAATAAAGAGATGTAAATGTTTCTGAAATACACCTTCAATATTTCAACATCCCAATGAGCTCCAAAGTTTATTTGGATCAAAATAAGACAAATAAGCTTGCCTTGGTTATTAAAAGAAAGAACAAGGTCTATCGCGAGAAGCCACCCAACATGAAAGAAGAAAACTCTTTAAATCCCAACAGGAAGAAAAAGAACAAGGAATAATAAGGAATCTTTGCAAGATAATCCTAAATTGAACTCATCCAATCTTTATTGAGATTAAATCAAAATAAAATTTCCCATTGAAGAACAAAATATAGAGCAATGTTGTAAGCATGAAACATCATTCGAAACTCTTTCAGGAGCAGTTTAAGGAGATGACGGGAAAAAGGTGGCTATTTGTCCTGCTTTACATGTCCAAGTAAAACATTGAGCAGCTCCAACATCCAGACTAAAATCTATCCTTAACGGCAAAGACAAAGAGGACAAATAAGAGCATGTCATCCAACATCAATGTACATGAGAAACTTTTCATCTTGTGTATATAGATCAATTAAGATAAGTAGTTGCCGTTGCGCATAGCGAGTTAAAGAATCCAACATTACCGAGTATCATTCAAAGATATGGTAAATAAACTACTCCTGGCCCCATAGCCTCTTGGTTGGATACTTGAGGAAATAGAGATAAGGATTAATCAACAATGTCAACTCCATTTCACCATTATGCAAGAATGCAAAAATGTAGTGATGTGTGGAGTGTTCCCTCAAGAGGTATGCAAAGTTATGTTGTGTAGTTTTTATCTTTAGGATCGAGTTGCATTCTACTTCAAAATAGCTAATGATATTAATTCATTAAGAATGAAAAAAAAAATTCATTGTGAAATGGAATGGAGACATTCAACCCAAAGACATGGAAACAATGAGACAAATAAAAAAGAACAATCAATACTCATAAAAAATTCAACCAAGTAACAACTCTAGTATACATATCTTTAATGACTTGAATATAAGTCATATCAACACCTTTCTTCTCGAGAACTCTCCAAAGGATATCTCTTGGAACCTTATCGCAAGCTTTTTCTAAATCAATAAAAATCAAATGGTAGATTCTCTTTATTATCTTTGAACTTCTCCATCAAACCTTTCAATAAATATATATCTTCCATAGTAGACCTGCTCGGCATAAATCCAAATTGATTATGAGAAATCTTTGTAATGCGTCTTAACCTATGTTCAGTTACCCTCTCCCATAATTTTAAAGTATGACACATCAACTTAATTCCTCTATAACTTGTACACTCTTGTGCATCCCCTTTATTCTTAAAAATGGGGACCAAAATACTCTTCCTCCACTCCTCAGGTATCTTTTTAGTTTTTAAAATAATATTAAAGGGTTTTAGTAAGCCAAGAAACTCCCAAATCTCCTAAATATTTTCACACTTCAATTGAGATATCATCAGGTCCTACAGACTTTTCACCCTTGGTTTTCTTTAAAGCCTCTATGTGAATCTTTATTCTGACTTATTTTTATTCCATATAGAAATTATCTGGGTAGAAGAGAATAGTGAAATGAACTTAATCTAGCAAAAAATTTCAAAGGGTGTGTTTAATGAGGGCTTAAGTGGAATCCTACGAATTGAGGTTGGAAACTAAATAAGAGGCCCTAATAGAAACTGAGGACCTTTTCTGCACAAAGAATCAAAATTCTCTCCAAAAGTTTGCTTTGGTTGGCGATTCTATCAGAGTATCTTTATCTATGAATCTCAAGTGGTATTAGATCCTTCATCCACTTCAAAAAACTTCAACAAAGCTCAGAGGCCTCCTTGTGTCGATTTTGTCATAGTGCAGCATCCATGTGTGCATAAATACAAGCATTAATACAAGTGCAATGTATAAATCTATGGGAATATAATGTTGAATCAATAACAATGAACCATCCACTGTTTGAACGAAAATGGGATTAAGCCACTTACAATCTTGGTTTTGCACAAATCAACTCAAGATCATATCATATACAATTAGGGCTGATATAAAGCCTAATTTATGTAAGCTTGCCTTGACTTGAAAAAAAAAAAAATATATCACTTCCATTGAACTTGAACTTCGCTCTAAATCAAAATTACGGAGTTGAGTTGAGTTCATCCAAATTAAAATCATTCAATTACAGAGTCTCCCAAATTTGATTTTTATTTAGTTATGATTACATATAATACATATGCATGCATTACATTACACACAATACTTATTGTTTATTGTATGATAAACACATTTTGAATGACATTTCATGTAGTCTCCAACTATATTTCAGTTACATAAAGCATTAGATAGACAAGTTCAATATCAGCTTTGTGTTGATCCAAATTGCAAAAAAATTTAAGTTAAAAAATTGTGACATGATTTTGATGGTGGTGCCTGAAAGGCAATCTAGAAAGCGTAGCTAGAAGACAGCGAATGTCCTTGAGAAGCCTTTCTACAAAGTGAAAGCAAAGCAACAGTGGCAAGAGAAGCTTAATCAGCTACACCACAGAGCTCAAGGAGAAAATAGAGTCTCTTGAATCCTATTATGCATCGCTTTGTTGTGAAGTAGATATTCTTAGGGGTATGTCAATGGCATTCATGCGAGGTTTGGTTTTTAGACAGGTGATGATTCCAGTGCAACTCAAGAGGAAAGATCGTCCTTTGGTAAGGTTCACAGTGGCACTCAAGGTGGTCAGGTTGAGCTGCTTCATGAAAGCTTGCCGATGTTGGGAGGACCTCATGGTACAAGAAGTTACGGTGAGGATGGCAAGAGCCACTTTGTGAAGAGATATTTGCAAGATTTAACAATGAAGTTTCAAGTTTTTACTGGAACCAGAAAATCAAAGCTGTTGCGCTTTGTCGAGATAGTTTGCCACAAACTCGATGATGGGAGTTATTCCCACATGATTTTAGGTGGAGAAGATATCGGAAGTGAATAAGTAAATGTGATACTTTGAGTCTATCACTGTTTCGAGCGTTATGAATATAAATGCCCCTAATTATATAAACATCTGCCTAAGCCAATAATAATTTTATCCATAACATATTTGTTAAGGAAAGTAATAAGTCTAATAGTTGTATGCTAGGAAGCATGATTATAGGTTGCTTGATTATAGGATATCTAAATGTATTTTCTATATAAGGTAATCAAATTAGGAGATATCTAATTCTAGAATCTTTCCTAATAGAGATATTCCTAAACTAAAGAGATTGGAATATATAAACGTGTAACATATGTTTTTAATTGGGTAATAAGAAAAAGAGTAGCTTTCCTTCATATGGTATCAAAACCACACACAGCTTGTCGTTGATACTCTGCTACTCGATTTGGCTTTGTTCATCGAATGCAAGTGTGGCTTCGTTTGTGTCAATCGGATCGTCAACATCCTAAGGGCTCCTCGGTTCGGCTTCGCACCCAAGTGCTCCTCGGTTGGCTTCATTCTACACACGCAAGGGCGTCTTTGTCTCCGTTGTTCGAATCTCCATCATCCCCATTTCCACTTAGCCTTTGTCTTCATTTGCACCATTACACACAGATGCGGCTTCGTCAAGTCTGGCACCGTTTTTGTTAGCCTCTAGGCTCCAGCTACTCCTTGGGTCGAGGGATAGGGCTTTAGCTATCGTAAAAGGAGGGGTTGTGTATCTGTTCCTTGGAAGGTGGAGGACTTCGGCTCGGGCTCTGACTGTAACCAAAATTTTTGAATGACTTTCTTTCCTAGGTGCGGAAGATCAAAATTAGCTATAGAGTCAATTATTTTTATCGGAGTAAAATTATAAGACTCTATTTGAGAAGTATTTCCCAAGACAGTCGCCTGATTGATAGTCCTTTAACAGAGGTTGATCTTAATTATTTCAAGTAGATGAGAGTTGATGCACGGCTTTGTATACAAATACGGAATTCTATCGAACTCGATCAATCTGATCATATCACTCATTTTGACTGAATTAAAAATAAGATGAAGGAATTGACATTTGTCTTTTATGGGATTAAATATTTCTAGAATATTTGATATATGCAAGGAGTTCTATCGAACAGAGCGATAAGATCAATCACTTAACACTTATCACATGCATTTTAAACTTGTTTATGAAAAATTGAATGCACTATTGTCCATCAGCATTGATGTTCAGATTCAAAGAGCTCAAAGAGAAAAAATGACTATCATGAATTTTCTAACGGGCCTTAACTCTCATTAAGAAGGTGTCAAAACATGGATCTATCTGACCCTGGAGTTACTACTCTCAGGGAAGCCTACACTAGAGTGTTCGTGCTATTCTAATTTTCAGGTTTCATTTGTACAAAAACCTAATGCTCTTACTAGCTAGAAAAACAAGCATCAGTAAACACCAATCTCAGGGAAACTATAGCAGAACTCTTAATTTTGGAAATTAAGGCTGAAGGGCAGTTAGGTGCTATTGTCATAAACCTGATCATACAAAATTTGCTCAATAATCAGCTCATATTGTCACTAATAATGAGGTTTTATGAGGTGTTACAAGCATCAATCTTCCATAAAAAATTTTGCCGTACCTTGGAATCCCTTGCCAATGGTCGTCCCGGAGACATCAACGAGATCGCCCTCCTTGAATATCTCATCAATGACGAGCCTCTGCCCTGGTTCGAAACCCTCGATGGAGGTGAGCCGGAATTCCTGAAGATGGCGCATTGGTATAGCGCCAGCCTTGCTGAGGTGGCCGAGCTCCGGCCTGGTGAGCTTCCGGTCGCGAACGCGGCGGTATCCCACCTGAACGGCGTCGTATCCTTCGGTGGCGGTGGTCTTGATCTGGGTGACGATGTTGCCCTCACGGAATCCGACAACGGTTACGGGGACAACGGTGCCCTCCGGCTCGAAGTAGGACATCATTCCCAACTTCGTTCCCATGACACCTATGCCCGCCTCCATGCTCATCGTCGGAGCAACGGCTGATCCGGCGCGAGTTCTGCGGGTGAGGGAGTGGAAGGAGTTGGGGGAGGAGGAGGAATTGAAGTGCAGGCTTTTGGTGAAAGAGGAGGAGAGGGAGAGTAAAGTTTGGCGAGAAAGTCTGCGCATTTGGGTTGGGGAAGGCGATGAGGTGCAGCAGGCGCCGGCGATCGGAGCAGTGGCCGCCATGTTTTAGCCTCAGCTTTTTAGCACCCGTTTCTATCTCTTTGATTTGTTTGCACCTAATATATATATAAGATAGTACCAATAATAAGATAATTTGATTTGTTTACACTTGAATAATTTGTGTAGGACCACTGCTCAACATTGGTTCAACCGTTGAAATACTTAGAAGTTTCGATTTGGTCGTCTTGATGGGAGTGACTGCTTTTTTATAAAGGGATAAATGTTTCATGTGTTGTTAGAAGTGTTATCTTTGCTGCTTGTATTAGATTTTTAGCTAATTTGTAGGATTGTGGGTTACACTCTTTTATTTCATGTATATTTTTTATTGCACTTATTATAGGAGTCATTTATTGCTCATAATGAAGTAATTAGGTGTCTTATTTTATTGATACACAACTCCATGCATGTTTGATTAAATTCTACAACTCAAATTTTTTTTTTTCCTTGTATTTCATGTTCATGAATTGTATGTAGATTTATGTGATATCGCAAAGCTGTGTGAGGTAGCATATTGCTTATACATTTACTTGTGGAAAAATTTGTATTTGTGTATGGTTTGTATGTAGATTTATGTCATATCGCAATGATAAGTAGGTTTGTGAAACACTTTAGAATGAAGTAGTTGGGTTGATATGCCCAAAGAGTAATGACTCTATAGCTAATTGTCGGGTTTCCATGAATTTGGTGTTCATCTTCCCAGTTTCAAAGTATTTTAAAAAACCTACCATATAAATATAAATTAAGCTGAGTACGAATAATAACAGATTGTTAAGTCATGTACTGATAGTCTTTAGTGATTGCACATTTTATTAAATTGATTAAGCATACTCATATTATACTTATTTAGATTTATTCAAAACTTTTTTTCTAAAAAGGTTATATATATACATGTTGTAATTTATTCTTTTTTTATCTTTGTATTGAATGCTCTAATCTTTGTCATTTATGATTTAATAAATAGTTGTTATTTACAGTTTGATTTGTCAAACTTACCCGTTGATATTTTTGTATAGTAGATTTTATTTGGCCATTTGCAGAACGAACTCCAGAGAAACAGACATTCCAATTATAGATTTTTTTTGGCTATTGTCAATATTTGCTTTAATTATTGAATCTCCTCTTTTGAGGCTTTGGGTAGTTCTTTCCTTATTGTCATTTCAGCTCTGTTTTAATCAGTTCTTGTTTTTCATTCAGTTGTATCAATTGGAATATTATTGATGAAATAAAATAAAATAAAGATTTTCTCTTTTTCTGTTATTACTTACATACAATCTTTTATTTTGAGAATACAAAACATGTTCAATTTATTTCATCGTATCCTATATTGTTGGGGTGTACTGATTTCTAGATCAAGAGTCAAAATGTTTAGATGAAAACCAAATATAGACTAGATATTGTAAAATTATAGGATAGCTTTAAAATAAATACTTAGATTTATTTTATGGAAAAATATTATTTCATTATATAATGCCAAATATGCATGATACACAATAAAACTGCTAAATTATGCCAAGTGTTCCTTGAATGATAATTAAATTAAGCTCAGAGAAGCAAAGATAGGAGGGACTTAGTTATTTTAGCTAGAATTATATCATAGATTGAACTATTAAACATCTATATCACATTGGCCTTTGCCTAAGTGGAGGGGAGAGAGAGTTGGGACAAATCAATTAGAGAGATTTTAAAGAGAGAAAATACACTAAAAAATCTTTTAATTTTCATTCATTCAATCGGTAATTTAAATAATAATCATGCAAACTTATTCATATAAATTATCTAAACATGTCAAAACAATCATATCATCTAGTTTAGAAAGAAGAAAATCCAAATAAAACAACAACAACAACAACAAAGCCTTAATCCCACTACGTGGGGTCGGCTACATGAATCTTTTTTCTCCATTGCGTCCTATTTAGTGTCATAATTTCATTTAGTTCTAGTAAGTTAAGATCAATTTTAATACAATAAGCTCAAGTCTTCCTAGGTCTACCTCTGCCTTTCGTAACACAAGTCGAATCTAAAACAACTACTATCCTAATTGGATCAGCAGATGGTCGACGTTTAATGTGAACAAACCATCTAAGACGACTTTCTCTAATTTTGTCCGTCACAGGAGCTACGCCAACCCTATCACGAATATATTCATTTTGCATTTTGTCTCTAAGTGTAAAGCCACTCATCCACCTAATCATTCTCATCTCGGCAACACTTAACTTATTATTATGCTTCTCTTTTAAAGGCCAACATTCAGCGCCATAGAGCATTGCAGGTCTCACCACCATCTTATAAAATTTTCCTTTCAGTCTAAGAGGTATTTTTCTATCACACAAAAGGCCCGAAACATTCCTCCACTTCAACCAACCAACTTGAATTCTACTATTAACATCCCCATCTATATCACTATTGCTCCGAACAACGAACCCAAGATATCTAAATCGTTCACACCTTTTAATAACTTGATCACCCAAAGTCACACTTCTGTCACTAGAGCTATTACTACTAAAATTACATTCCATTTATTCAGTTTTAGTCCTACTTAAACAAAGGCCTTTAGATTCCAATGTAGACCTCCATAATTCAAGTTTTCCCTGGCTTTTTCTCTTGTTTATCCACGAGAAGGATATCATCAGTAAAAAGCATACACCAAGGTACATCCTCCTGTAGATGTTCAGTAAGACCATTCATAACTAAAACAAAAAGATATGTGCTTAAAATAAATTTATTAAAATACACTTGAAACAATTCAATAACATTTGAATGTGCATTTTGTTGCATTAATGCCCATCAAGGATTTTTCACAAGTCATCTAAGCCATAGATCAAGTTCTCAAGCACTATCTTATATCAAAAGTTTTAGGAAAAGTTACAAGCATGCCGCACAAATCTTATATATTTACATATACAACATCTAAAATTTAATAGCTACGTTGACACCATTTTGAAGGTAAATCCTATTCAATAAAAGGTGTATTTTGACAACAAAATTAACAAAGCTATTTTTTATGTAATGTTAAAATTTTGCATATCAGACATATAAATATGAAATTTTAAACGATAAAACATGTCAAAACAATCATATCATCTAGTTTAGAAGGAACAAAATCCAAATATATATGACTTGAGGTATGTAAATAAATAACCCGAAGTTTTAAACATAGCTTATAGGCCAATCCCCATGCCCCAAAAAGAGTGAGAATTCTTTATTAGCCCGTCCTTCAATGAAATGTGAAGAATAAATCAGTCTAAGCTTACCTCAATATATTCCATCAACAAATGCTTAAATTTGGATCAATTAGATGCATACTACCCAATTCCTATGTATCGTTTAATGTGAACAAACCATCTAAGACGACTTTCTCTAATTTTGTCTGTCACATGAGCTACGCCAACCCTATCACGAATATATTCATTTCGCATTTTGTCTCTAAGTGTAAAGCCACTCATCCACCTAATCATTCTCATCTCGGCAACACTTAACTTATTATTATGCTTCTCTTTTAAAGGCCAACATTCAGCGCCATAGAGCATTGCAGGTCTCACCACCGTCTTATAAAATTTTCCTTTCAGTCTAAGAGGTATTTTTCTATCACACAAAAGGCCCGAAACATTCCTCCACTTCAACCAACCAACTTGAATTCTACTATTAACATCCCCATCTATATCACTATTGCTCCGAACAACGAACCCAAGATATCTAAATCGTTCACACCTTTTAATAACTTGATCACCCAAAGTCACACTTCTGTCACTAGAGCTATTACTACTAAAATTACATTCCATTTATTCAGTTTTAGTCCTACTTAAACAAAGGCCTTTAGATTCCAATGTAGACCTCCATAATTCAAGTTTTCCCTGGCTTTTTCTCTTGTTTATCCACGAGAAGGATATCATCAGTAAAAAGCATACACCAAGGTACATCCTCCTGTAGATGTTCAGTAAGACCATTCATAACTAAAACAAAAAGATATGTGCTTAAAATAAATTTATTAAAATACACTTGAAACAATTCAATAACATTTGAATGTGCATTTTGTTGCATTAATGCCCATCAAGGATTTTTCACAAGTCATCTAAGCCATAGATCAAGTTCTCAAGCACTATCTTATATCAAAAGTTATAGGAAAAGTTACAAGCATACCGCACAAATCTTATATATTTACATATATAACATCTAAAATTTAATAGCTACTTTGACACCATTTTGAAGGTAAATCCTATTCAATAGAAGGTGTATTTTGACTACAAAATTAACAAAGCTATGTTTTATGTAATGTTAAAATTTTGCGCATCATACATATAAATATGAAATTTTAAACGATCAATATCCAAATATATATGACTTGAGGTACTATTTAAACTTATAAGAATAAATAACCCGAAGTTTTAAACATAGCTTATAGGTCATTTCCTATGCCCCCAAAAAAGTGAGAATTCTTTATTAGCCCGTCCTTCGATGAAATGTGAAGAATAAATCACTCTAAGCTTACCTCAATATATTCCATCAACAAATGCTTAAATTTGGATCAATTAGATGCATACTACCCAATTCCTATGTATTTACTCAATAACTAAAAATTACTATTTAAACTTATAACACGTTGGTGTCAAAAACCTCGTGAATAGATTTATTCCAATTTTAAAAAGATAGTGATCATGACTATTTATAAGATGATGGTGAGACCCTCAATACTCTATAGCCCGAAATGTTGGCCCATAAAAGAGAAGCATAAAACTAAATAAAATATTGAGATGAGAATACTTGGGCGGATGAGCGATTGAGTGGCTTCACTCTTACAAATAAAATGTGAAATGAATATATCCATGAATATGTTAGCATTTCTCCAATGACAAACAAGATTAGAGAGAGTTATCTTAGATGGTTTGGTCACATTAACTGTCGACCATATAATGATCCGGTTAGGAGAGTAGATGTTTTAGATTCGACTTATGTTAAGAAAGGACCTCAAAATACTTGGGCATATTGTGTACAAAATGATCTTAATTTATTAGAATTAAATGAAAATATAACAGTCAATAAAACAAAGTGGAAAAAAAAGGAATTCATGTAGTCCAACCCCACTTAGCGGGAAAAAGGCTAGTTGTTGTTGTTGTAACAGTGACCATACCATTTTTGATGTGATATTAAATATTTAAGCAATATGCATGTAAAGATATATGTTTAGATTTTAGATATGTAATGAATTGTGTGATATGTACGTAAATGCCCCTTCTAATTTTTGCAACATCAACACATAATACTTGGATAGAACTAAGAAAAGAAAAAAGGAAAATTTATCAAACAGTACAAGAAGCAGCAATTTGAATATTCTGTTAACTCAATAAATAAGATCCTAAAACATTATACAATGCTCTTCACTTTCATTCATATAATTCAGCAGCAAACCTACAGCAGAACTACATTTATAAAGCACATCTAAACAAAACAAACAATAGCTGCTGCTCTCTTCAGAATTGGTGGGTGTTATAATCAGTGCTACAAAGTCATGTATGGATACAACAAAAGATGAATAAGATCAACAACACCTTTCAAAAAAAGGATGTTCAAAATCATGGCTAATAGTCTTCATTGTTGGGGCAGTCCGACGCCCTGTGCCCGGTTCGGCCGCATTTGAAGCACGCTCCTGCAAAACTCCTGAAGTATTTTGAATTTCAGTCTCACTCGTGAAATGAAATAAAGGAGGATTTACGTACATAACCGATACCCCGCTCGATTTCTATCTATTTAGATATTTTTAACATTTGAACTTAAATTTTTACATGCACACCATACCACCTTACCTATGCATGAGAAGTATTGCACCTTTTAGAAGTTAAAATGGTGATATTTTTTTTGTGATATGAAAAGTTTGGATAGTATAAATGTAAATATCAAAATTTAAGTGTTAGATATATAAATACATAGGAATTACGTGGTTTGCATGTAAATGTGCCAGAAATAATATAGGCAAACAGGTTGAATCCAGTTGGTGCCACAGCTAGCTCGAGCCTAAAATTGTTTAATCAAGCAAGTTCAAGCTCGAGCCTAATTCTAGAGCATTGGCAGGCTCATTTGTTATTAAAGATTGAAAATGATTCTAATTCAAACAACTTGTATAATAAAATGACAAAAAGAATGAGCAATTATAATAAAAATAAGAAGAAATCATAAGAATTGTGTGGTATTATTTAAATCCTTCATAAATTAATGTTAGTGGTATTTTGAATAAGATTTAGAGATTTTAAGTGGGGTTATATAAATAAATATAAAGATTTAGGTATTGAATATAAAATATCCAAGGATTCCATGATATGAATGTCAATTCCCCAAAGACATACATACATTCCAAAGCATCTTTAATTTTTTCTTTATATACCATCCTAATGTCTAAATCACATTAAAACAAGTGCATGAAAAGGAATATTACAATTTTAAATGTAAGTTAACGTTACTGGTATTTTTTATGTGACTTACAGAATTAATTGTTGTATAAATAAAAAGGATTTACATATCAATCCTTATGTATTTACATATCTAGCATCAAAACTTCAATTTTTACATGCATTACCTATACATAAAAAAGGTGTATTTAGCTTTTTAAAAGTTAAGATCGTGATATTTTTGATGTGATATGAAAGATATGGGGGGTATAAATGCCAAAAAAACAAAGTTCAAGTATTATATATGTAACTACATAAAAGATGGGTGGCATGTAAGTAAATGCCCTATAAATAAATACAAAGATTTAGGTATTCATTACGTAAATATCTGAAAATTATGTGGCATGCATGTAAATCCCCCAACCAAATAAGTGACTGAAAGATTTAGGTATTGAATATAAAATATCCAAGGATTCCATGATATGAATGTCAATTCCCCAAAGACATACATACATTCCAAAGCATCTTTAATTTTTTCTTTATATACCATCCTAATGTCTAAATCACATTAAAACAAGTGCATGAAAAGGTATATTACAATTTTAGATGTAAGTTAACGTTACTGGTATTTTTTATGTGACTTAAAGAATTAATTGTTGTATAAATAAAAAGGATTTACATATATACCACCCAATCCTTATGTATTTACATATCTAACACCAAAACTTCAATTTTTACATGCATTCCAACTTACCTATACATAAAAAAGGGTGTATTTCGCATTTTAAAAGTTAAGATCGTGATATTTTTGATGTGATATGAAAGATTTAGGTGATATAAATGCAAAAAACAAAGTTCAAGTATTAGATATATAACTACATAAAAGATGGGTGGCATGTAAGTAAATGCCCTATAAATAAATACAAAGATTTAGGTGTTCATTACCTAAATATCTGAAAATTATGTGGCATGCATGTAAAGCCCCCAACCAAATAAGTGACTTTCCAAAGCATGTTTGAAGTCAATTAGGAGTGTAAAAAATACCTTTCTCTATTTCCAAATGATGGTCGGCTGGATTTCCTTCCACTCATTAACAAATCATCATCACTTCCCCAGGATGATTTGGACCAGTTATTCCCAGTTCTGTAGCTGCGTCCGCCTCGCCGGACTTCATCGTCGCTACCATAGTCCCTGCCACCCATACTTCTTGATCCTCTCGAAGTCCTATCCCTGAAACCACCTCGAGATCCAAACCCATCCCTGAAACCACTGCGGGATCCTCGTTCATGATTGGAAAAATGACCGTAAAAGTCGCTCGGAGGACCATCATCTTGCAATGCAGGCAACTAAACAAAAAGGAAACGATTGAGCAAGCATGATGAAATGAAAACTCACAGAGAAAAAGATCAAGAAGATATACGTACATACCAATCCATTTTTATGTATTCACATATCTGATACCTAAACTTCAATCTTTACATATACATCATCTTATCTATGCATGAAAAAAGTGTGTTTCCCTTCTTAAAAGTAAAAATGGGGGTACTTTGATGTGATATGAAAGATTTAGGAGTTAAAAATGTAAAAAATTAAATATTTATGTAAATGCCCCCAAAAGATTAAATAAGAATGAAACATATAAAAGTATACACAAAAAAAATGAAAAACTTCAGTGCATTCCAACACAAAATTTTACTCCTAATTGTTAGACTAGTGCCATAATCCAGAGATAAGTACTACAATCAATATTTTAAAATCAATCACATGAATAAGCTAAATTGTTAGGGAAGATGCAAGCACCCAAAAAAAAAAAACAAAACTGGTTTAATCTTAATTAAAAGAAAAATATCTAAGAAATGCGACAAAAATAAATATAGAATGCCATAGTTTAAACTCATAAGCTAAAAGCTTGCACCAAATAATCATTACACTTTCCACTGCAACACAATATATGCAAAAATACTTTTCCAATCGGTCCGTTTAGCAAAATTAATCCGTTACAAATTAAAGGATGCAAATGCACTTTAATGAAGGATATGAGAAAAAAAAAAGGTAAACAATACTACCTTTGTGATCTTAAATAAGGTGTTCCCAGGGGGTAACTGCTTGTTTAGCAAGTCCTTTGCGATCTCCTCAGGCAAATCAAAAACTGCTCCTTGAATCTGAATAATACAGAAAGCAAAAGTTATTGCTCTAGTAATTAATGTTTGATCATTTTAACTGAGTGGTTCAAAAACAAAAAGGAGGATTCACATACATACCACTCAATTCTTATATATTTACATATCTAACCCCTAAACTTAAATTTTGCATATATGCCACCTTATTTATGCATGAAACGGTAAAAAAAGTTAAGAAAATAATTTTAAAAAATTTTTAAAAAGAAATCTATGCATGAAAAGCTGTATTTCACTATTTAAAAGTTAAAATAGTGATATTTTTTATGTGATATGAATGATTTGGGTGGTAGGTATGTAAGTGACCCAAACATGAATACTATGTAAGTTTTCAGAACATGCTGACATTTTAAAAAATTCAAAATACTTTGCAATGCACTGTCAACAGATCGAGGGAGATCAGCATTTTAAAACTCTTCAAAGCTTACATTTTCATCTGCCAACAAGTGAATTTTGCCAACTTCATCCGCAGCAGCAGGATAAACGTCAGAAAGGAAACCTGTAACTGATCTGGCAGAAAAAAACCCCCTCGAGTATCCCGATTCACGAGTCAACTGTAATGTGATCCACCCCTGTAGAACAGATTGATAAAAAAATGTTAGAACAGCCCCTCATTATCAAAAAAATCTCTAAATTATGTGCCTATAGTGATTTAATGATAAGTACAAATCCATTAATTATCATGAAAATTAGTAATCAGAGAAGGAAAGATGATAGTTTGAAACGGAAACTCCCATAAAGGAAGAATTATGAACCTGAATGCCAAGAAGAAGAAGCCTAAAAGTTAAAAAAAGTGGTATTTTTTATGTGATAGGTGTATAAATGTAAGAAAAACAAAGTTTAGGTAGTAGGCATGTAACTAAATAGGAATATGGCGGTGTGCATGTAAATGCCCCATCTTTTCAATAATAGGATGTAAAGGCAAATTTCTTTTCATTAATAGCAACTGACATCACTGAAAAACAAGACTGAACAAAGAGCTTCCTCCACTGTTCTCCTAATATAATCTGCACCATCATTTTTATGAGGTATGTATTATGTGAGTAAATATGAAACCTTAGCTGTGAGACATGTAAATTCATAAGAATTGTGTACTATGCATGTAAATTTCCCTTTATATAATCAGTAGAAACTCACTGTTTAACTGAATAGCAAAGAAAAATTGTACGAAAACTGACTGTCATGAACATGAAGAAATAAAGCTTTGCACAAGGAGAGAGGAACATCTAAGTTTGTGAACTTTTTTTTATACAAAAATACTAATATCCAGACCTGCTCGTGGCTGATCAGAGAACGAGATGAAGGCGGCTGCGAAAAACCACTGAGATGTGCGAGCGCAGCAGCAAGAGCATCGGCCCCTTTCTCTTCCATCAGCTTCTGCGCCGTTGGCAAGAAAAACTGTATTGATTCAGAATGCACGCCATGAAGCGTAGCAAGAACTTGCTCAGCCGATGACTCCAACACTTCCTGTATCTGTGGAGGACTTATAAAGTCAAACCTACATCCTACATCACGCTCGAGAGATTTAACCGTTCTCCTCTGGCTGCTTGTAAACATCAATATAGCAGTGCCTTCTTTTCCGGCTCGTCCAGTACGACCAGAGCGGTGAACGAATGTTTCTGGATCATTTGGGAGCTCATAATGGATGATCTACACAAAGAAATTGAAATCTATAAATCTTATCTGATCATGAAGTAAACCAGCATAAATGAAATATATATTTGCAGGAAATGGAAAGGAAACTACCAAAGATGATGCATGATAAATATTTACATTGCAAATAGAGAATAATACAACAGGAAATACTAGCAATGTTCAGAATAAATAAATGGAAGATTTACATCATACCGCTCAGTTCCTATCTAACACCTAAGCTTTAATTTTGACATAAATACAAAATTATATAGTGGTATTTTTGATGTGACATGAAAGATTTCGGTGGTATAAACATAAAAAGTGAACTTTGAGACCCTGAAAAAGTTTATCAAGATCAACATACCAAATCAACATTTGGGATATCGAGACCACGAGAAGCAACATCTGTCGCAACAAGCACGGTAAATTTCCCCTGACGAAAACCATTCAATGTTCTCTCCCGTTGATATTGTGATATATCGCCGTGCAGTGCTTCAGAGGCTATGCTATTTGTTAAGGCTTGTGATACTTCATCAGCATCATTTTTTGTCTGTGTAAAAACAATGGTTTTTCCACCTTTGGCATATACCTAAGAAAGTCATAAACCAATATTAAAATTATCCTCATAATCTAAAAATATGCTTCTTCTAAGGAACAAAAACAAAATTAAAATACCGTAATAAGGTCGCTAAGAATTGTACGCTTCGAGGTAGAAGTTGTTGACACGGCATAAAGTTTAATTCCCTCTGCAAGTTTTTCTTCTTCCTCACCAACCTAGATGAAAGAGATAAAGAGAAAACAAAGTAAATTCAGAAAAATATCAAGGTCAAAAGCAAACTAGGAGCGAACTATAAACAAATTTAATGAGAATAAGGTAGAAAGCATTCTCTATTCCATGTCCTTTGCACATGGGAAGTTCTAAGATGTAAGACAAAAAGCTAAAAATAGAAAACAATTATAGACATGTATAAATGCATCCATAAGTATGAACTTCGTTTTAATTTGCAAAAAACCTTAAGCTTTCATGCTCTCCAGAAAAATATTATAAATTGAAAAGATAGTAGAACTAGGCGCGTGCAAACAGATATTTTAGATGAATTAGTTAACAAATCAGTCTAACAGAATCAAATCAAATACCAAAATCCATAAAAACAAACTAACAAAGCAGTTGCCAAATAACAATCCGAAATGTCGTTCAATATTTCATTTTAATTGGTTTGGCTTGGAGCAAACTGAAATTTACCATTTTGTTCTATTCCAAGCCTAAATAATTAAAGCATAAGGTTCTATTTCAAAATTAAAAATTTATTTCTCTTTTTTATATTCTGACAATCTCTTTAAAATAAAAAATTTCAAACTAAACTAAAATAAAAATGTCATATACTCAATTTATTTTCTTTCTAAATGAATTTCATTTCCAAATCATATTATTATTCCGTTTATTTAGTTTAATGATTATTTAAACCATTCCAAAAAACAAAAAACAAAAAACCGAGCATTAAAATCTTTAAAGCACGAAGCCAAATCATTATTTGAGAACCAAACCCAATAATCAAATGAACTCGATTCAGTTTGTTTTAACCAAACAATGAAGGACAACGAAGGCCGCTAAGTAGAACCATCACACGTAAAAAGAAAAATTAGAAAGTACCAAGTCAATCGTGAGAGGATTGTCCAAATATTTTCTTGACAATTTCTTCACCCAACCAGGCATTGTGGCAGAAAACAACATATTTTGACGCTTCGATGGTAGCTTTTCCAATATAACTTCGACATCTTCTTCGAATCCAACAGCAAGCATCCGGTCTGCTTCATCGAGGATCAAATACTGAACTTCTCCCAACTGAAGGCTATCATTATTGACCAAATCAATAATTCGACCAGGAGTTCCCACAACCACATCAACACCTCGGGTAAGAGCATTTTGCTGAACATTGTAAGAAACACCCCCATAAACACATACGGTGTTAAGGTATGGTGCTGACTCCTTAATTTCCTTCTCAACTTGCTTAGCCAGCTCCCTAGTAGGAGCTAGAACAAGAACGCGAGGATGACGACCAGCACGCCTTCACAAATAGAGGTAAGAAGATTAATAAGAATTAAGATGAATGAGATAAATTTAGTGTAAACTAGAGGCATTTACACACATACCAAATAATTCTTATGTATTTATATATCTAGCACCTAAACTTTAATATTTAGATTATATTACGAGGGGGCCTAGCATAAGGGCGAATTTGTCTTTTGTACGCTTAAGGGCAATTTAGTCTTTTAGGCAATTTAGTCTTTTATAGTCTTTTATTATTGTTGTTGTTAGGTATAAATAGACTTGTTATGACTAGGGTTAGGATTATGCATGAGATTGAATTGTGAGTCTTAGGTCTAGGGTTTGGTAGAGATTTCCTTAACTCTTGAATTATAGAAATTGGAAGAAATTGTCTAACGCTCGAATGGTAGGTGTTTATCATTTGTATTCGTGTGAATTGTCATATTATTACAATAAAAATGTGTTTTCCTTAATTTATGTGGGAAAGTGTGTCGATTTCTGCCTAGGATCCTATCAATTTGGTTTCAAAGATCAAGATTTTGGGAATCAGATCAACAGAAAAGAGGATTCATCGACTCTAGCAAAAGCTAAAGCAAATGACTTCAAGTGACGGAGCCCTCGATTTTCGAGTACAAAGCTCTGAAAACAAATAAAAGATTGTGACATCCAGTGATCACGACGTTCAAAGCCGAAACAGTCGATGGAAGTGTCGCGACGTACAAAATAGCAGAGGGAAGCAAGGGACGGGCCGCTACAGTCGCGATAGCAACTCCTGCATAATCGACGCTCGCGATGCAGTGGGATTGCAGCGATATAATCACAATTCGAGCGAGCTGGGGAAATCGTGACTCTGTTCCTCGCGATACAATCGCGATCAGATCTAATTGGGAAGGCAACGACTAGAAGTGGCTTACAAAAACCCGAAGCTCTCTTTTTTTCCTCTTGCGCCCTCAACACGATCCAATCACGATCAAAAGCTAGCTAGAAGGCAATCGCGAGGGATCACGGCGAACAGAGACCCAAAGCTTTTGGGATCGCGGAGAACCTAGGGCAGAAGCTCCCATATTCCAAGATCACACCGATTTGTGCACGGACAGTCGTAGTAGGTGCTACCTGGGAAGTGATGACGGGATTGACGTGATTCGAAAATATTCATTTGACGTACAGTTGTGATAAGAGCTAGCTGAGGAGAGATGATGGGATTATAGGTTATAAAAATTTGTCTTTGAGATTAAATTTTTTTTCCGAAAGAGATGCAACAAATAAAGTAGATCTGGAAAAGAAATTGGAGGAAGATATGAGTCAAATCAAATCTGTGATGGAAGAAAGGTTCGCCGCCATATAAGAGAGCTTATCGTCCTTGGAGACCGATTGGAGGACGATTCAAGAGCATGGGAAAAATTCAAGAAATACTGAAGAGACTAATTGAGATGCAATCCAAGAACCTGCCGACAGGTCAATTTGTAAACCCTAACAAAAGGTTAATTGGAGAATTTATGGCGAGAACGAAAAGAAAAGAAATTTAACATGTGGAACATGATGGGGAAAACAACTACCATCACAAAGCCCTCTCAGGGCATCTATTAGGGGGTGAATTAGAGATTTCTAATGGAGGCAATTAGGCCTAAACATAGAAAGTAGATTATGTCAGAGGTATGGAGGAGCATGAAGAAGAAGGGAGAGAAACACTGAGGGGATATGATCAAAGAATGGAGTTTTACCCTCGATACATGGGGGGAAACAACAAAAGAAGATGAAGTTGTGGTGGAGATGTTAGAGTTAGAAAGTTGAACATATCGATCTTCGAGCAGGAAGACGCACATTGGTTGTTGTATCGGGCAGTATGGGTTAGATGGGGAAGAGAAACTCATTGAGGCAGGATTGTGTTTGTAGAAGAAAGCCTTAACGTGGTTTCAACGGAGAGAGTCTGGATACCCGATTAGTTTGTGAGAAGAATTTAAGGATTGTTTGTTGAAATGTTTCAGGGTCATTCGGGAAGGAGATTTACACGAGCAATTCTATATTTTGACTCAGTACGGTCATATAATATATGAAGTGATTTAAATTATTGTCTGAACGACTGCAAAGGATTTCTGAAGTAGAAATGGAGGGGAATTTCATAAAAGACTTAAAGCCCAACACATGGGCAACACTCCAACTACTAAAATAGTGGGGATTGAGAGAGATGATGGAGTTAGCTCAGATGGTGGAAGACAAGAACCAGGTGAAGAAAGCCAGCAGAAGCAACACAGATGGAGTGTCGTAAGGAACTGCTGTAACCACGACGATGTCAAAAGTTCAAACAATGGAAGTTCAGAGGAATGTTGCACGGGACATGAATAATAGACCACGACTAGGAGCAACACTCAAGTGCCTTATAGATTCGGGAGAAGCAGGGAAAACAACTACCATCACAAAGCCCTCTCAGGGCTCCTATTAGGGGGTGAATTAGAGAATTCTAATGGAGGCGATTAGGCCTACACATAGAAAGTAGATTATGTCAGAGGTATGGAGGAACATGAACAAGAAGGAAGAGAAACACTAAGGGGATATGATCAAAGAATGGAGTTTTACCCTCGATACATGGGGGGAAACAACAAAAGAAGATGAAGTTGTGGTGGAGATGTTAGAGTTAGAAAGTTGAACATATCAATCTTCGAGCAGGAAGACACACATTGGTTGTTGTATTGGGCGGTATGGGTTAGATGGGGAAGAGAAACTCATTGAGGCAGGATTGTGTTTGTAGAAGAAAGCCTTAACGTGGTTTCAACGGAGAGAGTCTGGATACCCGATTAGTTTGTGAGAAGAATTTAAGGATTGTTTGTTGAAATGTTTCAGGGTCATTCGGGAAGGAGATTTACACGAGCAATTCTATATTTTGACTCAGTACGGTCATATAATATATGAAGTGATTTAAATTATTGTCTGAACGACTGCAAAGGATTTCTGAAGTAGAAATGGAGGGGAATTTCATAAAAGACTTAAAGCCCAACACATGGGCAACACTCCAACTACTAAAATAGTGGGGATTGAGAGAGATGATGGAGTTAGCTCAGATGGTGGAAGACAAGAACCAGGTGAAGAAAGCCAGCAGAAGCAACACAGATGGAGTGTCGTAAGGAACTGCTGTAACCACGACGATGTCAAAAGTTCAAACAATGGAAGTTCAGAGAAATGTTGTACGGGACATGAATAATAGACCACGACTAGGAGCAACACTCAAGTGCCTTATGGATTCGGGAGAAGCAAGCCAATGGGTTATGTTTTGGGTGTGATGAGAAGTTTACCCCAAGACACCGTTGCAATGATCGAATATTACAAGTTCTTATAGTGCAGGATGAGGAGTCAAAGAATGAAGAAAGAGAAACAGTTGTGGGGAAGGAACACTCTCATTTTTACCCATCTTGAGGACAAGGTATCTTTTGGGGGGAGTATTGTTACGAGAGCCCCTAACCCAAGGGCAAATTTGTTTTTTTCTACACCTAACGGCAATTTAGTCTTTTATTATTTTTTTGTTGGGTATAAATAGGTTTGTTATGTCTAGGGTTAGGGTTATGCATGGGATTAAGTTGTGAGTCTTAAGTCTAGGGTTTGGAAGAAATTTACTACCTCTTAATTTATAAGAATTGAGAGAGATCGCCTACCTCTCAAATGATAGGTCTTATTGTTTGTATTCTTGTGAGTTGTTTGGATCATTGCAATAAAAATTTGTGTTTGCCCTATTTTTATGGAAAAGTGTGCCAATTTCTACCTAGCATCGCATCACATTCGTAACACTTAGCATCACATCAAAAATAGCACTTTTACTAACTTTTTTGAAGCTAAATGCACCTTTTTATGCATATGTTTATAGCACCAAGGTGTCATAAATGTAAATATCAAACTTTAGGTGCTGGATATATAAAGCCATAAGAATTGTGTGGTACGTATGTAAATTTCCCTATAAATTAACAATCAAAAGAAAACAGCTAATGCAAACCTTCGTATGCCTTTGTCATCTTCAGTTAGCTTCTTTATGACAGGAATACCAAAAGCCAAAGTTTTCCCTGTACCTGTTTTGGCCCGGGCAATAATGTCCCTTCCTTCCAAAGCAGGTAGCAACACAGCCCTCTGAAGTGAAGCGAGTTTATTGAGTAGAAAATCATTAAATTCAGGCATGGCAATGTATTAGCATCCAGCACCAGACAATAAGAATAATGACAATAGCACAAAAATTATTAGCATCAAAGAAATATTCCCGTTTGGAATGTTTATAAATTAGCATCTTAACACTTGATAAAGTTTAAAATTACAGGTTAACAACTAAAATCATAAATTTGAACTCTGAAGCTACTAAACGCAGAAGCTACCCAATTAATGTAATGGGTTAACAAGCGATGCTAGCAAAATCCGCGGACATCAAACTCATTGATTAACACAATTCCCATCTTTGGGAATATCGAATCCCTCAGTTTATAACCATATTTTCTGCAATTCTTGCATAAGAATAAACCTTGACTCGACAAGAACTTAACTTTTCACATAGACAACGTAATTACAGAGTAGAAATGGGGAAAAAAAAACTGAAGAACTTTCTGTAAAAGCGGACATTAGGAAACATAAAACGAACAAGTTTTAAAAAAAATTATTTTTTTATAATACAGGGAATCAGCATCAATTACTCGTTACCTGAATGGGAAAGAGGTGGGTAATCCCTCGTTTCTGAAGAATATCGACAAGCTGTTCCGGCAAGCCTAGCTTGGAAACATCGAGCTCGTCCTTATCCCCTTCCGACATATCCTCTCCAAACTGATACTCTTCATCTTCGTCTTCGTCTAGAGAAGAAGAGCCCTTGAAGCCGCCGAGCCCCTTAAAGGCCTCCTCGCTAAGCACCGAGTTCGGAGAAGCGATGGCTGAAGGCACGACTAGCCGGAGGCCCCTCGAGCTCCTCAACAAGCAGTAGCAGGCATCAAAAGCCCTGGGGGCCGGGGAGGAAGAAGCCCTAAGCAAGCAGACATGGTTTTTTTCGAATGGAAAGGGAGGTAGTGAAGGGAATACAGAGACTCTCCTGTGAAGGTCAAGAAAGGATGCGGAGGAGAAGTTCTGGAAGAGAGAGGAAACGCAGACATTGGAGGCCATGGAAGCTCGGCGGAAGGATGCGATAAGGTAGCTACTGGCCTCACAAGCTTCCAACTCCCTGCCCTTCTCGCGGCTTGAAGATAAAGCCGGTACGGGTAGTGAGCCGAGGTTCAAGGGAGAAGGAAGGGCTTTTTATTAAAACCCTGGAACTCGTTTAGTCCGGGCCATGGGCTTGGAGTTGGCCCCGAAAGGAATTTTTTGGATGCATTTACATACATGCCGCCCAATTCTTATTTATTTACATGCGTGACCAAAATTTTACTTGTTTACACTTCTTATGACATTAAAAAACATGTTTTTTTCATGCATAGGCATGCCGGTATGTATGTAAGAATTAAAGTTTTATGTGATTGATACTTAAATATAGAGAAATTAAGTGGTATGTATGCAAATTTTTCAATATTTTAAGCATTTTTTTTCACTCCTCTGTACAAAATATGAAGTGTGATTATGATAGAGCTTGAACTTTAGTCAGGTTGAAAGGCTACACTTGAATTTATTTAGACTGGTCTACTTATGAGGCTACTTTATTCGGGTGTAATAAGTCTATTATAGTTAAATATTGATTCTAGTGTTTTAATTGTGTACTTATTCTATTAAGGTTATCACTATACGTGACCTTTTGAGTTTATATCACCTGGGATAATTAGATTGCTTGCACTTGGGCTATTTTGAGGTAAGAAATAGGTTCGTGAGTAAAGTTGTCACAAATTGGGTTCCACTCAAAGATAATTTGTTGTTCAACATCTTTATCCCTCACAAATATTATGATATATTCATGTAATATATATTTTGTTGAAATTTAAACACTAAATCTAGCCAAAATTAATCTCGAATTGCTAGTTGTTAGAGCATTAGCAAACAAAGGGATTCTAATTTTATTTGTAATTTTAGAAATTCTAGTTTCAAACCAACAACAAAGATAAATATTAGGAAGTTAAATCCAAATATATATTTTCATGAAATTCTCTTTAAGATGACAAAATTGGTATCAGAGCTCTGAATTGGTATCAGTATCAGTATCAAATTGAATTTATTTAGAGTGGTCTACTTATGAGGCTACTTTGTTCGGGTGGAATAAGCCTATTATAGTTAAATATTGATTCTAGTGTTTTAATTGTGTACTTATTCTATTAAGGTTATCACTATACGTGACCTTTTGAGTTTATATCACCTGGGATAATTAGATTGCTTGCACTTGGGCTATTTTGAGGTAAGAAATAGGTTCGTGAGTAAAGTTGTCACAAATTGGGTTCCACTCAAAGATAATTTGTTGTTCAACATCTTTATCCCTCACAAATATTATGATATATTCATGTAATATATATTTTGTTGAAATTTAAACACTAAATCTAGCCAAAATTAATCTCGAATTGCTAGTTGTTAGAGCATTAGCAAACAAAGGGATTCTAATTTTATTTGTAATTTTAGAAATTCCAGTTTCAAACCAACAACAAAGATAAATATTAGGAAGTTAAATCCAAATATATATTTTCATGAAATTCTCTTTAAGATGACAAAATTGGTATCAGAGCTCTGAATTGGTATCAGTATCAGTATCAAATTGAATTTATTTAGAGTGGTCTACTTATGAGGCTACTTTGTTCGGGTGGAATAAGCCTATTTTAGTTAAATATTGATTCTAATGTTTTAATTGTGTACTTAATAGGTAAGATAAATATTAGGAAGTTTAATCCAATATATATATATTTCCATGAAATTCTCTTTAAGATGACAAAATTTTGGTGTCCATTGTTTAAAAATAAACAAATTTTCGAAAAATAAAATTGTGATCTCTACCTCTAACAGTTTCAAGACTTCTAAACAAAAAAAAAAACTTAAATAGTGATACGCCACCAATAAATTTTCATAATCTGGCACGAATCTCAAGACAATATTTTGAGCAAAGAATATTCAAACCTTGATAAGAAGTAATTCAAAACTCCAAATTTAGTAAACATATAGTCAAACTGACCGACTAGAAGAGACGGATCTAATGATTTCAAAGTTAGTCCAATCCCAGTCAAATCAGGCCCAAATTTAGTGATTAAATCATTCTTGGAGGAAGTTCGGAAGCATTTGAAAGGACAAACGGATGTCAAATCTAGCGAGTCTATAGTCAAATCGAGCGTCTCGACAAGATGAATCCAACGAGCCCAAAATTGCACAATTCTAACATTGTTAAGGCGCTCCAATGTCAATCATACATCATCTAATCTAGGGAAGCTTTCCGGACCGTCCTATCAAAATGATTTATATTCCTACATTAATTGCACCTAAAACACTATAAATAGAGTTTCACCCTTCACATGAGGGGAGGAGGCTGGAGAGAGAACTGGAGGCTTTGAGAAAAAGCTCAAGTCCAACATCATCCCTGCCATCATCGACCTTCGTCGACCACCACCGATCATCAGCGACCACCGCCGACCTCCATCGACCACCGCCGACAACCATCGACCACCGTCGATCACCGTTGACTGTCATCTACAGTCGATCATCGGCGACCACCGTTGGAGAACTTGAGGCTTTGAGAAAAATTTCATGCCCAACATCATCCCTGCCATCGTCGACTTTCGTCAACCACCGCCGATCATTGGCGACCACCGCTGACCTCCATCGACTACCGCCGACAACCATCGACCACCGTCGATCACCGTTGATTGTCATCTACATTCGATCATCGGCGACCACCGTTGGAGAACTTGAGGCTTTGAGAAAAATTTCATGTCCAACATCATCCCTGCCATCGTCGACCACCACCGATCATCGGCGACCACCGCCGACCTCCATCGACCACCGCCGACAACCATCGACCACCGCCGACAACCATCGACCACCGTCAATCACCATTGACTATCATCTACAGTCGATCATCGACGACCACCGTTGACCGGACAACATCAGGCGACGTTGTAATCTAAAAATTTAATAATCCTTTCCCGTCTATGGGACAAAGGGTCACTGTAATCATTAACATATAATGGATTTTTATAATTGGTCCAGGCCCCGTGGTTTTTTACATTTACGAGTTTTCCACGTAAAAACTTTTGGTGTCATCATTGGTTGTTTCACGTTCATCTGAGTGTGTGTTGAATCTTCGTGCAACGCTAAAATGATAATCCATTACTCTACCGCCTCTAAATTTCCAGCACTCATCAGTTTGGCGCCGTATGTGTGAAAGTTTTTATCCCACAACTAAAGTACTTGTATGGTTTACTACATGACTGACCAACCTTTTTCTTTTTGTAAATCGACAATTACAAGAATTTGATGGTGCTACTAGAAGATTTAAATTCCAGCAACAGTGTCAAAATCTTGACTGCGACTTTATATATATGTGTTTGATTTAATAAAGATGTATAGACATAATATTCAATAATGTCAAAGTCAAATTTTTCAACGTAAGTATACGTATCGCTCAAGTAATATAGGGCTCTAATGGAATCCTAGTTATCGATCTCACATGGAGAAATAGAATACTACGAACTAAAGCTTAATAAAAAGTAATACTTCAACTACAACAACGGCGTTCAATTTGCTTATCTGTCACTAATAGACAATTGAAATAAGTAGATAATTTGGATAACTAATAAATAACTAATGATAGAAAGTAGGGTTTAATTGTGATATTCAATATATAAGAAAACATCATTCTCCTTGTCAAGAAATTATAGTGAATGGATAAAATGAA